CACAGGGTAGTTAGCCCAAGTCAGGGGATCAAAGGAAGAAGGGGGGTTCAGGGTTGACATCAGCACGTCCAGTGTAGCGGAGTGTCGGAAGCGACCCATTTGCCGTCGGGAATGGCTCGATAGCGGCCGACTGAGGTGCATACACAGCACAGAGGAGAAACTTGGCATGTTTATTGCAGAAAGTAAAGGGAGTAGTATGCAAGAAAAAAGAACAAAGACAAAAACATACAACAGAAGGGATTCGCTGGTGGTCACCCACCCAACTACTAACCTCCCGGCGTGTGGCTTGAGTACGGCTGAGCGGACGGGAAGCCCTATTTTCCACACCCTGTGATCGTATGTGTTTGAGGCCTAACTTCAAGAAGTCATTACTGTACACGCCAGTTGTCGAAAGGATGGAAGGCTCGGTAGGTGGAAGACTGCGAGTCGCAAATCCGGAGGAGTAGGGCGGAAACTCGTTCAACGCGTTCATGTGTCGGGTGGGAGTGTTTCGCACGGTTCGTCTATACAGAAAGGGTTCTCGGGGGATGGTCATTTCGATTCAGGTGTGGTAGATCGACGATGATGATGGATACTTCGAGTTTGGTGAACTTGGGACTGTGCTTCGCAAGCGAGAACGACCATGGTGACTTGTCCTAGCCTAGATTGTACTGTAGAACCTTCACCTGGAAAGCAAGGAACTGAGTTAGTGGACGTGGAAACTCCATGATTTCAGAAAGGAGGACGTCAAGGTCCTACCATAACGCAAGCAGTCGGCTCTTGTGTCTGATAACAAAGCATTGCGAAATGTTCAAAGTCGATGAAGGGGCTCGATACTGGCGTCTCGGTCTGTTGGAAAAAGTCAGTTGCAATGAGTGTGGTGAGTGGACAAGTCGCCTATGGCTGCTTACCGGAATAGTGCTCATGCTGTGTCCTCCGCTGTATCGTCTGAAGCGTTCTCCCACCCACATTCTGCCTCAGGAATCGGTCACCAAGTGTTGATACTGTGCTGGGTGGGCGAGCGGCGTCGGTTGTCACGTGAGGTTGCGGTGGGAATGAGGCATCGTAGAGCTTGGCTCTTGCCACAGGGAGGGAGTAACAGTTTGATGCGAGAATTTTTAGACGATGACCAACACACTGATCACGTTGGAAAGAGCCAGTACTGGAGAGAAAGAGTTCTGGGTGGCTGTTGGGGTTGCGAAGAGGCTCACATAACCTCTGGATGATCACTTGGCAACCGACGAGGCCATCCTCGACGAGGGCTGAGACAACCCAGTCCCAATGATCAGATGAACCTGTGCATGACGTGTCAGCAGGATTACGATTACTCTAATATCCGTAACATGATCTGACCCCGTATTCCTCACCAGTCCAGACTGAAATTCTGCAGCATTTTCCAAGTCCGGTTGACACAGTCTATTCAGCCCAGTAACCTGCGGTCTCGGAGAAATAGAGCCTCTGATGTCATTCCTCCCTAGGACAGCAGCAGTCTGTCGAGAGATCTAGGCGATTTTCGGAGAGCCTAGGAGCTGTAGATCATAGAATTGCGTTTGACGAGGGGCGGACTCATTCTCCGCAGCGGCGTGTATCTGCCGCAGGTGACGCCTCCCTGCCACCCCAAGCCTACTTTCTACCTCGTATAGTTGGGTGCAAAACACGCTCTTATGTCTAGACCGAGTGTGGCTTGCGAGCACGAAAAGGGAAAGGAAAGAAATTCGGGCTGTGTCGTGTTGATTGGCTTGGCTAGTTTCGGGTAGTCGCAGTGAGATATCATGGATGAGGAGTGAATCTCTCTCTGTCCAGCCTCGCCGCTGGATTGGAAATTAGAGACCAGACATCGTGTTCCGCGTACGGTGGATGGGCAAGTATTGTATGATGTGAATGTACAGTACTCTCCTGAGCCGCAACCCTTCATTGACAATCTCAGAGCTATCCTCCGGCTTCCTTCTACCATCCCCGTCCAGCACTGAGTCTTTCCAGCATATAGCATAGATACTAGGTAGGTAAGCTGGCTCCCATCTTCAACGATAGACCCATCCTTTTCTACCGCTAGGACCAACCAAGATCCTCCTATAAAACCCGCCATGGCCCTTTCTCCGCGACCGCAATTCCCCGTCCGGTTCGCAACCAAATGTCTCACAAAACCGACCGCTCACCTCGCCCGTATAGGCCTGTCTCATCCCTCGTGCTGCGCCTTTTCCAAATGCGGTAGGACGACACCCAACGAACGCCACGACAGAAATTTCAACTTCCCACCTCGTGTCTGGATTGGACATTCCCGCTATTGATCGCATATCCAGCCACACTGCCGGGGGGAAAATTGATCTCTCCCCGTCACGAGGCGACGACCAGCGCTGGGCTGGGAAACGAGGCCGACCACGAGATCAGTCGCCGTGGACATGTCACCTCCCGTGCTCGCCGTACCGGACGATCGTCCAGCCCTGCGTAGGCGTTCGCTGTCAACTTATTCGTCGTTCCCTTCCCGTCGGGTTTCGGGAGACCACTTTCCGGGGAGGCGGAATGCTGAGCCGTACGAGGAGTCAGTGACTTGGCAGTCCGGGGATCTCGGGCTTTCGAGTGATGTGTGCCTGAAGCCCGTTCATGACGGAGTCGGAGAATGAGAGGATTTGAACATTGGGTACTGTATGTACCTAGCCGGTCGGTCCGTGGCCCAGTGGCCCTTGGCAAACTTGCGGGAGCGGAGCCGGTGAGCTTCTGATGGCTTACAGTGGTAAAGAGAGGCGATTGGATTCTTTTTTGTGTAGGCTTCTTTGACGGTAGGATCGGTGACCGTACCGGAACTGTCTCCCGAGGGTTAGGCAAGGCAGAGGCTTTGCACGGGATGGAAGCCTTTTGCTGTGCCGCAATATGGTCTGAGTGCTGAGTGCTATACTAAGGTACAATCCGTGCAATTGTCCACATTGACTGGAAGTATTCTCACACTCTGTAGCTTTGAGATCATAAAGCAGGCTCTCTACTAGCTAGTAGGTGCTTCAAAGGATTTACTTGCCTGGAGAAAACGCTTCACATGCTGTTGACCGCGGCGGAGCCAGGGCCAAGAAGACCGACCTTGTTCTATGACCTCTGCAAAGATGACTATCGCTGCCACTACTCCGCCCTCCAAACAAATGCCAACATGCACAACCCCTCTGCAAGATATCCATCGGAAAACCCCTGAAATCCCTGACCCTTCCAAGAAAAAACCCCCCCCCCTCTTACACAGAGAGAAGGTGAAAAAAAAGAAAGGCCCAGGGAACCCCACAGAACATTCGCCGCTTTCTTCGCAATAGGTACTACTCTTTGTCAGTCACTCTGTCGCTTGTTCTTCTCTCCGTGATTGAGTACCTACTCGTTTTCATTCAATCACTCGCCCAATAGCAGGAGAATTGAACCACTGAGTGAAGCGGAGTGCCGGTGGCGAGAGCTCGATATTCATTCTCATTCCCCCTTCCACATTCCTGTCGCGGTAGATGCAATCACGCAGCGTATTACAAACATACACTACAAGGAACGGGATGATGAAAATAAGAATTAAGGTTGATGAGTCCGTTGCGATATCGATGAAGAGGCTGGGTAGGGTAGGCATTTTGATCGACCTGAGATTCAGTTGTGGGGGAATTGTAGATGAGCTTTTGTAGGCTGAGATTCAACTATAGGAAATTTGTAGATGAACGTTTCTAGTCTGAGATCATGGAAGAGAACTTATCACGTTTTAAGTCTGGCTGAAGATCGATATCCTCGACCACTCCTTCCTACCAATGGCTAAACAATCAATCCGAATAGCCATGTTCACTCACCGACTGTGAAAGAGATTTCACACTGCCACCACCGTGCTGGACGAAACTCGCGAGACTCATATCATAACCCAAGTTATGGTTTTTGAGCTGGTTGTTGCAATCGACCAATGCAGGACCGGGAAGGAAATCAATCTATCCTCCACGCTAGCTGTGTCTTGAACTCAGAAACATGAATTCTAAGTTGGAGGCCAAACTGGATGCCCAGGCAAATTGGCCGCAATAGCTAGCAGCTCCTTGGGTGGGTGATGAAGACTGGTAGGCAATTCGCAAAAACTCCATTCGCTTGATGGACTGTCAGAGAAGGGTGATCGACCGGATTACCTTGGGGCATCCAGCCCTTCGAATTTCGGGGATGAATCCCTAAAGCTGAAACTAAAACTGAGTGAGTAGGTGAAGGTGAAGAAGGTCAGCGCAATGGCTGGCAACTCTTAGGGTGGTCATGGCTTGTAGGCAAGTCTGCCAGAGTGCGGAGAGGGATCAACTTGATTGACTTGGGCCATTCGACCTTCAGAAGCCCTGGAAGACAAAGGACGTATTGCCCGCTCCGACAGTGAGCGATGCCACCACGAATACGTATTCAAGGTTGGACACCGACAAAGTTTGGTTCGCCCAATCATCACTCCCCGTTCTGTGCAAGCAACGGGGCCGTACCTTTGTCACCTAGTATGTCAAAGATGCCATCATCCTCTTTGCAGTCTGGTAAAATTAGAATCTTTTTCCCCTCCCAGGTATAACTCCCAGGTATAAGACATGTGCACCGAGCCCCCCAAATGTCTTCACCTCTTCATCTCATCTGCCCAGCGATCGATCTCACCCACTTCAACCGCCCAAGCCCCTCTCTCTTCGAACCTACAGCCCAAGCGACAGCCAGAACTGGCAAGCCTGATCCCACGAGGATGGACTTGTGGTGGCAAGATCCCGCCCACTATTTTGACCAGCAAAATTGGAGTAGGTGATTTCGTCATCTCATTCATCTAGCGAGCTGAATGGCGGTGGACATTCCAGACTGATCATGCATCATCATGCAATAGAAACGGCCCACGCGGAGGTGACCTATCTCGAGGGCTACAAGGCTTCTACTCGAAAGGTTGCGTACGAAGCCAGAAGGATCTCTAATGGCCACGTTGCAGACCAAGGGACTCTTCGGACTGCCTACATCGGTTTCTTCTTTGCTTGTAACAAGAGTTTGGACCCATCATCCCGCATTGACAGTGAATTCTACCTCGTCTGGGATGTTCCTGAGCCCCTGACGACGTCCGATGGTGAGAAGACGAAGGGGGCAGGGAAGGAAGGGTCACCGATCCGCACCTTTCTCCACCAATGCACCGATTTGTACATCTCCCAGTCCTTCCACGACCTCGATAGGCTGGTGCATCCATACCTCGAAGTCATTTTCACAGCCGAGTTGCGTCGCCCCCGTCCCCAGACCCTGGACGCATACCTCGCTCGTACCCACCTTGCCTTCCGGATGCTGCCCGACCCGGAGAACGAGAACGCCGCGAGGGTCGAGCCCTGTCCGTGCGCATGTCCGAACCACAGGGAGTCGGTCGACTGGAATGAATTGATGGCAACGCGCCGTGCGCAGCAGGTCATGGAGGGGGTTCCTCTCTTTGCGTTCTCGGATGTCGAGGACTTTCGCGGCCTACACCATCACCGCGTGTTTGCAGTCACGATCAATGGGATCACCTTGATCTACAAACCGGCCCGGAATAACGCCTCTCTGGTCGACGAGGCCGAAATGCTGAGGAAAGTGGCCGCGTTGCCGAGCGGAGGAGTCCTGCGCGTGCCCAAGCTCGAAGGGATCCTGGGGGCGGGCACGCCGTACGCGGGGGTCATTATGACCTATATCCATCCGGGGACCCCATTGCGGGCGCTGGTCGAATCGGGGCGAGTGGAAGGCCCAGCCGAGTGCCAGAAGTGGTTCGATCAGATCTCTAACGCTGTTCGAGCCCTGCACCAGAATCGGTGTTATTTGGGAGATCTCCAGCCGAGCAACGTGGTGATCGACGGCAACCGCAATGCTTGGCTGATCGACTTGGAAGGTATCCAGGTCGAAAGGCACGATCAATTTTCGGATGACGACCCCGAAACTGCAGACCTGCGCGACTTGGCCGACATGCAGGCGTACCTGGAGATGCACGGCCGAAAGGCACGCGAAGCACTGCGCTTTGGCCCCCGCATCAGGGCTTGTTTTGATCGCTTGCGCATGCGTCTGTCCGGTCTCTTCTTCCACGAGTATTTCTGGGTTCCTTTCAGCCTCCTGGTCGCTCTTCTGGTCGGCCACTGCCTCGGCCTTTGGACTGGCCTCTCTAGCCGCCTGTTCGCTAACTTGCCCACGCTGCTGTACGCTCTCTTCTGCATTCGCCTGTCCACTATCCTGTTCAACCGGGTGTTCTGATCTGCTGTTGCTCATTGCCCCCCCCCCTGCTGCTGCGCGCACCTCCTCTTCTTTTCTATTGTCTTTGCTCTCTCGGTTCCATATCTAGTGTTTCCTGTGCGGGATGCCAAGACCTACCCTGTGGCTGAGGCTGTGGCTGAGGCTGTGGGAGGCGGAACAGCTTTTCCACCCGTGCACTCGCCGCAAGGGTTCTTCTTGTATTCCGTAGAATCTGACAGCTACGTTTACTATACCCGGTTCCTCAATGGGATAGATAGCCTTCTCCGACCACCTGAATTCGAGGCCCAGTACATGCGTGTAAACCCCCATCAAGACCGCCTCCGCCCGCCTCAACCCAGGCCGCCGTTCACTTATTAGAAAGGGCCGCTTGATTGTCATGCCCCGGGACACCTCTATACGTATACACCTTCTTTGGTATCTTCTTGAACATTCTTCCTATCCAAAGGTACATGTATTGATCCAGACCTACTAATTCTGCAGCTGGTGAGAGGGGGGGGCGGGGCTTGTATCGCCCCCCAGACCCCCCCTCCGACCGCTGACTCCCCTCCGCTATCCGGCGAAGTACGGAGTACGCCAGCGACAGTGAGTGCGGTGATTAAAGTCATGTGATTCTTTTCAGAGGAACCAATCAGATTGCTCAGATTGTCAGCCAATCAGCGGTCGTCACCCTTGCTCACTGCCCGGGCCGCCGGGCGGGCACTGGGCAGGTCCTCATCATGGCGGGGATAGATCCAGACAACTTGGAAGGTCTTTCGTTGGGCAGAGAGGAACACTCGATTGTGGCTGGATGGCGAACTCAGTCACTGGTCTGGCATATCCACCGAAGGAGCACACGGCCTGTTTGCCGAGTAGTGCGTGGTGATTGAGTCATGAGTTGATAGTAGAGTACATCTAAGTACAGTACGGAGCAGCAGCCGCGGTCGGTGAACGAACTCACATTGATGGATGTCTTTAGCTAACCTACAGACCCGAGCAGAGCTACTCGAACGATAATTTCAATATGCGACCAGTACGGAACATGTGTACGAGGCACGAGGCCTCAGTTCGCAGTTCTACCTGTCAATCAGATAGAACCGCACAGACTGCGTCCGAGCAGCAGGCTCGCTTCACTCACCCCTGGCAAAGGAACAGACAATTGTCAGGGAGGACAGCAACCTGGTCCTAATTCCAAACGCCAGGGGGCTGCTATCGAAGGCACTGGCAAGCCTTCTCGATGGACCAGGGCAGCTCTCCATCTCCCTCCGCGTCGACGACTTCACCGAGCACGCGAGAGCGATGGTCGGGCGGTCACCGCACAGTCTTTCCCCAAACCATGTCCGCCCTCGCGCAGTCGAAACTTTGCAGTCACGCCTTGGGCATCTTCGAGGAGGGTTGCACCCCACATGTATGGAAGCAAATGGAGTCTCCCGCTCAGCGGCATCACCAACGCGCTCGCCCGCCACGGATCATGCCTCTTGGCGTGCATGACTCTCTGTCGCGATCGGGGGCATTCGATCCACTCCGTGGAATGGACCCGTGTCGTCAAGGACGGGTAGCGGTAGCCCCCTCTCTCCCTACCCACGCGCAAGCCCGCCGCGATACCCAGGCATTCCTAAGCCGGTGCCCCAGTCTCGAAGGCCTCCACCGTCGCGTGGGGGTACGATGACGTCCTCGACACAGAGGCAACGGGAGGAAAGAAATTGAACTTCTTCAACCAGCGTGTACTGGACCTATGCGGGCTGAAGCGCTGTAAGCTCGAGGGACCGAGGCGGCGATCCTGGCGTTTCTCTGTTTGGTTGCCGCAGCTGAGATGGACCTTACGCGCGAAGGAGCTCTGTGTCAGCCGGGGACATTCGACGGTCTTTTGATTTGCTGCTGACTGGGATGCCGGACCTGGACTTCCTAAGGCTCCGGTGCTTGGTTCCTAAGGTTCCAGTGCTTGGGGCTCCGGGGACTATGGGGACTATGAGGGCAAGCCTGCCATCTTGCGCGGCTGCCCGCCGATAGGCTGTGTGGCACCGGCGGTCGGGGATGCGGGTGGCGGTCACTACCTACTACTCAGTACTAGGTACCCAGTAGCCGGAGCTAGAAGGCAACGCCGGTTGTCCTTCTAAGGATTCCTCCCAGTAGACACGCTTGAGACATTTGTCCCAGGGGACATAGGTCTGCGGATGAAAGACTACGGAGATAAGTACGGGAGGGCCACACAATGGTATCCCTGGAAGCTTGTCGCCATCACTATCTTGTCTACGCCTCGCAATTCTCTCATCAACCTCTTTGAGGGAGTGTACCAGGCAATACGACTGTAGTACCTGGTCAGGCAGCAGGAGCGTGCGTCCAAGTATCGAGATCTGGTATTTGATTCCTCGACTGGCCCAAGATAGACGATGCCGGCCGGCAGTCATGATAAAGTCACGATCCTCAAGTCGTGTTCTTACCCATTCGCTCGCATCTCCGATCCTTTTTTCTCTACAGTCTCCTGGAATAAATATCATCACTCGCAATCCCACCATCTTCCGAAGGAGAAGGAAGCCCTGACCAGCGACAGCAGCTCCAGTCACACCAGGCAGCTCTGAGGGCTGCAACTGGGACGATCCAGGTACACAGCCCACCGACCAATCAAACCCCACCAATGCCGACCCACGATCCGATCCATTCCCACCCCACCACCCTGGCATTATTGAAGATCAACACTGACGGGCAAAAAACTGCCTGTGAGTCTCCACATCCACCATCCATCCCGAAAGAACTCTTGTCCCAACAATCACCTCCATCTACTACTGTTTACAACGCAATATCACCACAACCACACCCTCGAAATGCCACCACCACCACCAACAAACACCTTCACCCACCCCCCAACCCTAGACCCCTACACCCTCCCTCTCCCAACCTTCCTCACCACCACACACCACCCCCGCACCCACACCCACACCCTCACCCCAACCACGCACATCGTCACCGGCGCCTTAATCTTCAACCCTAATCCTTCAACCACCAAAGCCCCCAACCACCCCCCCGAAGAACACCACATCCTCCTCCTCCGTCGCGCCCCGACAGACTCCTACCCAGGCCGATGGGAAGCCCCCGGCGGCTCCTGCGACGCCACCGACGCCTCCATCCTCGCCGGCGCGGCCCGCGAGGTGTATGAGGAGACCGGGCTGCGGGTGGTACGGTTTCTGGCGCTGGTCGGGGTGGATGCGTGGGAGGTGGTGCGGGCGGGTGGGGTCAGGAAGGCGGTGGTCAAATTTACGTTTTTGGTGGAGGTGGACCTCAGCTTGTCGGTGGGGGCCCAGGGGGTGCAGGGGATGCAGGGGATGCACGGCGAGGTTGAGGGGGAGGTCAAATGTGGGGGCTTGGGGATCAGGCTCGAGCCGGCCGAGCATGATGCGTTTGTGTGGGCGACGGAGGAGGCGGTGCGGGCGGGGGTGGTTTGTTTGCGAGGGCAGCGGGTGGGGATGGAGTTTGTGGGGAGGCAGCGGGAGAATTATCTGCGGGGGTTTGAGGTTGTGCGGTCTTTAGGGGGTTGAGAGTGGCTGGGGTTTGGGATGTTGAGGGTAGGGGGGTGTTGATGTATGGTAGTTGGAATTGTGAGGGGTGCTTGTTGGTGTGGTTGGTGCTGGATGTCTGTATGGAAATACTATCGACAAGATAATCTGTAATGGAATTCACGGCTGACTAGGGAATGTACATTGATTCTTTATTTATACACTCATTTAATGAAACCTCGAAATCTATCTACTCATCATTCTCATAAACTCCGCCATGCCCCCTTCCACACGGGCAATCGCGGCCTACAATCGGTTCCTCCCAATCATCACCGATCCAATAGTCCTCCAAGTCGATGTCATACTCCACCCAATCCTGAGTCTCATATTCATCCCACACCGTCGTATCCTGCACAAGTCACTCCAACCGAGTGGAGTTCGTCGTTTCGAACAGCACGCGCTTGTAGGTGGTCAGCGGGATCGCGGCGTGATCGGTGACCTCCAAAACGAGGTGGAGGGTCCAGCAGCCGGAGGCGTTGGAACTCTTGCCGTCGCACACGACATCCGCGCCGGGGATCGTGACCTGCACGCGTTGCCCGTTCCCAGAAACTGTGAAATTCAACGTCGGGATCTGATTGTCCACGTTCCAATCCGTCGAGCCCGGCTCCTTGTACTGGAACCACCGGAACGAGAGGCTGTCGCGGTCGGGATCGTAAGTCTCGGACGCATCCAGCGTCACGGTCGCATTGGGCGTCGAGGCGATGACCAGCGGGGTGAGGTCGGCATGCTCGTTTACCACGACCACGGGGTGGTGGTTGGCCTGGCTCTCATTGGCGGGGAGGGCCCACTGCATGCGGGCGGCGAAGTCATTCTGATACGCGTCTCTCCACCGCCAGATGGCCGCGTGGTTGGAGGTGTAGGTCCGGTTGTTCTGGCCGATGACCCGGTCGGCGGCGTCGCCGTATTGCCGGTACTTCACCTGCTGCGAGAGGTCCACCAGGGAGTAGCGGCCGCCCCAGGATCCGTAGTCGGGCTGCTCGCGCACGCCCAGACCGTTCTGGATGAGATACAAGAAGGTCGGGGTGTCCCCCTCCATGATGAACTTGTAGTCTGGGTACTCCTTGCCGTAGGTCCCGATCTGGATGTTCTTCTTCAGCCAGGCGGCGGACACCTTGGTGAAGTCCGGGCCACCGACGTCGAAGTTGTAGTATTCCTCGCCGGAGATGGCAGCCCAGGCGGCCAGGCCGTACTGGTTCCAGCCGTGCATGGAGGCGATGTAGAAGATGTCGGGGAACTGCTCACGGATCCAGAGGCCGCTGTCGTCCTGGTCGGAGATGGTGTAGACGCGCAGCTGGCCGCGGAGACGGGCCGCCTCGGTCGCGTTGAAGTTGTGCTGGACGTAGTACAGGGTCTCGGCAAGCACGTTCACACCGCCCCACCCGAGGACCCACAGGGGTTCATCAACCGGTTGGCGCAGTCGGTTGAGCAGCAGCTCTGCGCCCGAACTGAGGTTCTGGCCGGGTCCAACCCCTTGCATTCCGTAGACCTTGATTTGATCAGTGGGGTTCGTGTAACGACGGATGGAATGCTTACAGCTGGGCCTGACCTGACAACACTGTGGAGGTACTCCGCTGAGGGGTATGGGGAGGACGGTGACGTGTGTTGATTCAGGTTGTCCACCACCTCGGCATATGCGTCAACCACTGCCGAGATCTGCTCGGGATACACACTGTCTTTCAGCCAGGTGGACGTGACGGCAGTCATGCCTTCGATCTGGAACTGATTGCTGTAGAGCAGGAAGCGCACAAAGGATTCCGTGTCATCGGGCTCATTGGAAATATCCGAGAGGACGAAGACGCGGGGCTTGGACGCATAGGTCAGAAGCGACGAGCGGTTAACAGCCGCACTGGCGTCTGCCACAAGGGCATTGAGACAACCAAACAGCAGCAAAGAAAGTCGTCTCATGATGGCAATATATTCGAGGGATATGACTCTTGAAGAGAAACAGCAACAAAAAGTCCCGGCGAGAAGATGGGACTCAAGCCAGTTTATATGGGAGTTGCGGGGACGGCAGGGAACTAAAGCAGTTCTTGGCAGTTGAGCAGTTGAGAGGGGATGATGGCGATGACTCGGGAAGATGATGGTATCGCCAGTTGTATGGGCTGGGTGAGCCTGGGGTATCCACCGCCTTACCGGATCGAGCGAAGCCGCAGCCGAGCCGACCGACGGAGGGGGACTTCGGCTCCAGCCCCGTCTCCGCACTCCGCAACTTCCCTCGTCTGCCTTGCCGTTTCTGCCGTTTCTGCCCGTTTCTCCCCGTTCTGCCCGGTTTGTCCGACTCTTTCGGCTGTGTGTGGGGTAATGCCCCCCCATAACCTTGAAGAGGCATTTCTAACCCCCAGCCAGCGGTTGCAATTACCCCATAAGCTCGGGAGAGCGAGAGGTCGGAACTTTCTCCCCACCGGCACTTGGTGCTGACGATTCTCCACTAGGTACTTCCCACGCCAGATGACCCTGATTCCCCAACGATTCCACTGGCCATATTCCGCACTCATGCTGTGCAGGAATATTCCTTACATTACCGCAGCAAAAGTTGGCTAACCCCCATTACCACTGTGACGCAATTGGGCCCCAAGTACCGACTTCCCACAGAAACCACGTCACCGCGGAGACATTCCCTGACTCACGCCGCAACACCCGCGTCAGTGAGCGCAAGTTGTCTCCGGTCGGCGGGGAACGGGTTGTCGTGAGTTCGCAACATTACACCGTAATTTGCACCTCGCCGGTTGCAAGGCTCGTCACGAAGAACAGAAATGTGACTTTCCATTAGCACAGCCGTAATCTCACATCTGTGGTCCAAATTCTCCGGAACAAGTATGCCTTGGGCATCGCAGAGCACCTGTGTCGTCCATCGTACAGGTCATCGGCATCCCGAAGTCTCCCGCGATTTTTTCCGTCAAAGGCGTTCCGACGACACCGGTAGCGGAGAAGGCGGGACCCTGCATAGAGTCGTACAGCGGCATGGAGCACGTACTCGTATTTCTACCCAAAACAAGACTAGATCATCATGTCACTGATGTAACTTGGTGAGTAGCCTGCATCAGTCTCGTGTCAGTCGCTTGGCCCTATGTGGGAACAGCAGTGGTCATAGGCCACAGGCCTCAGATTTGGGAGAACAGGGGGTGAGGCCTGGCGGCGGCGGAGGGTGCTGTTGTCACCAATGTAATCGATTTCCTCGAGGATTTTCTTGGCAAGCGTGTTGTCCTTGGCAAGGTTGGCAAACTGATCTCAACCTTTCGCTGACTGTCGGAAGTGGTGTTCTGTACCGGCTGCTCGTGATGCATAGTTAGTGAGTAGTCGGGATGTGGATAGAGGCTTCGGGGGCTCCAGCGTACTTATCATATTAAAAAAAGAGAAGAGAAAGTGAAGGAGGGATACTGAGCTAGGCTAGGGCTAGCAGCTAGCTGAAGGGCAGACTGCAACAAAGTCATCTGTGTGAAAGAGTTAGATGATGATAGCATGGTAGCAGCATGGTGGGCAGGTGTAGCGGTACGGACAGTAGTAATACCTACCAGCACCTTGTTGGTAGTAATAAAGATTTTCCAGCCTTCCGTTTCAGAACGTAACCTTCCTGCTTAATTCGAGGGATCATCCCTAGACTGGCCTAAGTCAGGTAGGCTTGGCAGAGTGAACGATCGGGTCTGAGGGGTACAGTACAACGTCCTATACATGGTAACTCCTCCCTAGAAGCACACTCAGGCAGTCAAGTGCTCAAAGTAGTAGCCTCACTTCCCAAGGCCGCTCTCATCGACAATTTGGGAATCATCAAGTCAGCTAAGATGGCAACCAGATTCATGATCATATCAATCACAGCCACTTATCCTAAGTGTGGCTCCTCTGTGCCCGAGCACTCTTTTATCTTCGTTGGGATGGATTCATCTTCTAGAGTCAGGTACCTGAGCCTCAGAGTGTAGTTTGTCAACCGTAGCATGTTTGTTAAGCAGACACGGTGCACTCTCAGGATTATCACATCATGGATAGGCACGCAATCTTTTCGGCCCTCGGGAGCGTCCGCGGTATTTGCCTCCAGCACGTGGCTGCAATAGGGGTAACTGTCACCACATTTTTCTATGGCACCGCGCCATGGATTGGCAGGAATGTAACTCTAAATTTGTTCCTTGATTAGCTAGCCGCTGACCATCCCCTAATCCCTCCAAGATGGCCAAGACTTTGCTACCACGCACACGCCCAGTCAACGATAAGAAATCAATCTCTACGTGCAGTGTGGTTAGTGTTGCTTTTCTGTCAAACTCTGAATGTCTCTGTGAGAAATCCAGGACTGAACGTTCGGTCGCATCCGAGTCAGAAGACTAGAGTCCGTGCAGTAAGCAAAGGGTCTTGTTTTTGGGGATTCCAGCGGTCGGGTGTTTCCCGTCTCGGCTGAACTCCGGCGTTTCATGAACCCTACCGTTTCATGGTTCAGGGCTCGAACGTTGATCTCCGCCTCAAACTCAATTGAGGTTCTTTAGTTCCATTCCCCTTCGATGAAGCGCCAACTTCTCCACACCCATCGGGAAACTAACCCGCTTCGAGTCTCGATCAGGGTCCGGACCCTGCCGCATTGGTTTCCTCGTCCGTGCATCTGAAACAGATCCCTTCAACAGGGAACGCCTTCCACACTCCCGTCAGAAAATGTTTCACCACGTCCCAATTTTGCGACATCTGTGCTGTTGTATGTCTTAGGGGTGCGATGTGTCAATATGATGGATAACAGCTGAATCCCTTTCACAATGCCGAGGTAGCCGGCCGCTGCTGCCTGGGAATGAGAGTATATATCCACGCTGATTCCCCAAATGTTTAACGGCAGAAGCAGACGAGACAGCAGGGCAACCTCATCACATTCACTCTTTCCATTCGCTTGGTCGAGAAACTTTCGTTCATTATACTCTCGTTCAATTATAACCTTCATTTCGTCGGAAGAATGGCCCCTCTCAAGTCCCTCTTCGTTGGTGCCCTTGCTACGCTGGCCGTAGCAAGCCCTGTCCCCGCCCCTGTCCCGGAGGCCGGTCAACTCCAAACCCGTCAGTTCATGGACTCGAATGATCTCACGTCCGGCTCCTGCAAGGACGTCACCCTGGTCTTTGCGCGTGGATCTACCGAGTTGGGCAACATGGTAAGTCGCGCTCTTCTACCGCCCCTGTGTCATCTCAGATTTTGCTTTTGCTCGCGCACGGTACTGAACCCCGAAACAGGGTTCCGTCATTGGACCCCCCCTCTGCACCGCCCTGAAGTCCAAGCTTGGCGCCGACAAGGTCGCCTGCCAGGGTGTCGGCGGCCTCTACACTGCCGGACTCATGCAGAATGCCCTGCCGCAGAACACCGATCCCGGAGCCATCTCCGCTGCCAAGAGCATCTTCGAGCAGGCGGCCTCCAAGTGTCCGAACACGAAGATCGTGGCTGGTGGATACAGGTATACCTCTCTTTCCCTCCGCTATTCTACCCACAATCAAGTCCAACCCAGTCGTGCATGGCTAATATCCCCGGTAAAACAGTCAAGGAAGCGCCGTCATCGACAACGCGGTGCAGGCGGTCAGCTCCTCCGTGCGCGACCAGATCAAGGGCGTGGTGCTGTTCGGCTTCACCCGCAACGTGCAGGACCACGGTCAGATCCCCAACTACCCCAAGGATGATGTCAAGGTGTACTGCGCGATGGGCGATCTGGTCTGCGACGCGACGCTGATCGTGACGGCCGCGCATCTGACCTACGGGCTGGATGCCGGCGATGCGGCGAACTTTTTGGCGTCCAAGGTCAACGCTTAAAGTGCTTCATCGGCGTCGGATTGACCAAGTATTATCGGTAAGGGTGGGTGGTGGCGGAGGGAGGATGAATTACGGGCTCTTATATATGAATATCTGTTTCCTTTCTTTTGGTTGGCGATTTTCAAGGCTATCCTGGACAATTTGGTGTTTAGTCTTTTTCGTATATTATATATCTCTTTATCATTCCCTCGAATTGCTTGTAATGCCCTTTACCAGTCTTTGTATCTCAATTTCTATACTGTGCTCCCACTTGCAACATCCTCATGAGAGCAATTTACTGAGCGCAGGTTGGTGATGGTTCTGGCTTGACCTAAAATCGTGATCTTCAGTTCCAGATTAAGAACCAAGCTACCTGCCGCCAGTGGATACGGATTCGTCTGGCATCAAGTAATCGGGACACCACGAATGATGGATGTCTGTTGACTAAGTCCAGAAAGTATCTATCACTTAGATAGTGCTTGGTACACCAAAAATAAGCCATAGGTGTGAATCAGGAACTTACGTCTCTGTAATCACTTGACTAATCGATCAGGTTCTCTCCTCTTCCTCAGCAAAGTGCCGGAAATAACGCTCCGGAGCGGAGTTAAACTCCAGTGCGCTTCGAGAACCCCGGCTGACACGAGGATCTGTGGCTTCTGATTGGCCATTCAGCTCACCGCCTAGGAGCCCCCGCAAAAGCACTCAGATATCCGATGCCCGCAGTGGTCCACGCGCGTCATCACTCGAGAACATTCACGAGAACATGAACCAAATTATAGTGCCATCGGTAGTCCGTTTTCCTGTAGCTGGGAAACGGAGGCAGACGACATCTTAATCAAAACAAGGACCCCGAAGGACCCAAGAGATTGGTAGGTGCTGAAAAAGCACGGATCGGTTGATGGGCGATCTGCGGATATAGGCCCCGCTCTGGAGATAAAGCAGAAGTACTACTGTGAAAAGAGTGTCATCAGCTAGCGATACCCCCTATTCGTTCCAGGCCAACCTGCGACCGAATAACGGTTCTAGAAGTAATGATGCACCCTTGAATGTCATCCGGGGTTATGTGGTCTAGTGGTTCTGGTACCATGTGTTCTGTGGTTGGGCAGCGTACACTGTGGAGTTAAGCGGGAATAGAGGTGTCATCCATGATCAACCAGAAACCTTAAATTTCGGGTGGTCACCCATACAGGTCGGAATCCCCAAACCCATGTATAAAATCGGGCACAGATTCCGGAACACAGGATTCTGAAATACCTCATTCTCCTATTCACACACTGTACACTCTCATCAAAAGCCATCTACCTCCCAACAACCAACCTACCACCGCAACCATGACCTCCAGGTACGCCGCTGCCCACGAATCCCCCAACGGCCCGGGCGACGCGCGCCCGACGGCGCAGACCATCATCGACGACCAACACCTCCGCGACAAGCTCACGGGTAAGACCATCCTGATCACGGGCTGCTCGTCGGGGATCGGCGTCGAGACGGCGCGTGCCCTCTACACGACCGGCGCGACGCTCTACCTGACGGTGCGCGACACGCACAAAGCGACGAAGAACCTGGGCGCTCTCGCCACCAGCCCGCGGGTGCATCTGCTGCACCTGGACCTCGACTCGCTCGACTCGGTGCGCGCCTGCGCCGCCGACCTCCGAGCCCGGAGCCCCGCCCTGCACATCCTGATCGCGAACGCGGGCGTGATGGCGTGCCCCGAGGGCCGGACCGCCGACGGCCTCGAGGCGCAGTTCGGCAGCAACTACGTGGCCCACTTCCTGCTGTTCCAGCTGCTGAGGCCGCTGCTGCTGGCGGCGGCGACCCCCGCGTTCCACTCGCGCGTCGTCATGGTCTCGTCCGTGGGCCATCGGTTCGGCCACGTCCACCTCGACAATCTGAACCTGGTGGGCGAGTACGAGCCCTGGGCGGCGTACGGGCAGAGCAAGACCGCTGTGATCTGGTTGGCGAATGAGATCGAGCGGCGGTACGGGGCCCAGGGCCTCCATGGTCTCAGTCTGCACCCCGGCGGCATCCAGACCGACCTGGCGCGCCATATGTCGGAGGACCAGATTGCGGCGTGGAATGCGGATCGCGAGCTCATGCGCCACTTCAAGAGTCCCGCGCAGGGTGCCGCCACGACGGTCGTGGCGGCCGTGGCCGCGGAGCTGGAGGGCCAGGGCGGGCTGTATCTGGATAATTGTCAGGTCGTGCGGGATGAGCACGACCCGGCTAGCGGGAGGTGGGGGCCCGGGTATGCGTCGTGGGCGTTTGATGTGGAGGGACAGAAGAGACTGTGGGAGAAGACTTTGGAGATCCTCCAGTTGCAGGATGAGTGAGTGGGGCGGTACCTGAAGTATAGTAGTCATCGCAGTTGGTCGATTGCTGTGGGGATCTACGGTCATCGCGCCAAAGACCATCTCCGGATTTCAGATATTGTTGTTTGTACTGGAAGCGAGTTACCGTGATATTCTTGATCAAGTAAAGCGAGTATAATGTATAATATGAACCCAAGTCAGACTTCGTTTATACTCTTTTTGCTTTGAACTCAATTACTCGTATTCGTGTTGATGGTTAACTCTACGTGTAACTCGAGGCAGGTAATATATGCAAGAGTGATACCAACGCCCACCATTCGGTAAGTCGGAGGTCCACGCGAGTGCGACGGGTCGGATTGTCAGCAGCCTGCATTAGTGTTAACTTTATGCCAACCTTCAACACTATTCTCAGGTACTGAATCTAGCTAGATGCTTGTGTCTCATTTGCATCTGAGACAGGGGGTAAAGCGATATTGTAGCCACATGTCTTCGATTCTCAACGTTGTGGGTATCTCTTGGTGTGCCACGGGCCTCCCTCTACTCCGTACACTGTAAATCTTCCTTCGGGGCGATCCGTTGCCGCGGATGTTTCCCGCACCAGCTAAGTAACACCACACCGCGTCTATCTGGTCTCTCCTCAACTCAACTTTCACCTCTCCCACCATGCGTCCGGCGCTCACATTCCCACGGCTTCCTCTAATGCCACGGCTGAGTCCAACCACTGCTCCCCAATCATGTGTTCGATATCTAAGCAAAATGGGTAACAAAGATCTGATCGAAGAGCAAACTTTATCCTACTACCATCTCAAGCGATACTACCCAGTTCGCATCGGTGACACGCTCAAGGATCGGTATCGCATCATTGCAAAGCTTGGCTATGGCGCTTACTCCACTGTGTGGCTCGCCTGGGATGGAAGGTTTCTGAGCACGAATCTCCAACATGAGGGCCTTCATTGACTGATACATAACACTAGAAACAAACAGTAATACTTATCGCTCAAGGTGTGCATCGAGCAGGTCGATGATAAACCATCGCCCGTGTTGAATGAAGTCAAAATGCTGCGACGCATGAAGGAATTCGCCGAGGCAGCTAGTCATCCAGGCCTATGTTACATCCGCCTCGCTACCGACATCTTCGAACTGCACACCTCTTCCGGTCGGCATTATTGTATCGCGGCCAAGCCCCAGGGCCACAGCCTGCGCACGCTACAGACAACTTTCCCGAACGCCCAGGTGCCAGGAATATTAGTACGGTCTCTGATGCATCGGCTGTTTTTTGCGGTCAATTGGCTGCATGCCACCTGTCGCCTCATCCACACAGGTTCGATCGGAACTTCACCCAACGAGCAACGATATTCATTTCACTCATTTCACTCATTTCCGTCTACAGATATCTCGCCGCTAAATGTTCTCACAGAGATAGAGGATGATGTCAGTCTCAAAGACATCGAACAGCAAGAAGCCCAAGACCCCAGCATCCCTATCATCTGTGGGTTCTCAGGCGCTCCTGTCTACCGCTCTCGAGAGCCCTCCCTGCAACTGAGTGGCATCCCGATACTTACGGACTTCGGTCACATCCGTGAATATGACTACTATGACTACCGCATCAACAAAGATTGGATCATGCCTGATCTGTATCGAGCTCCGGAAATACTGCTACAGATTCTGTGGACTTTGCAGGTGGATATGTGGTCTGTTGGCGTGATGGTAAGTCACACATGATGAGAATATGTCAGGCAAGATACGTACGTTTGCTAACCACCGTTCTAAATAGACTCTAGAACTTATGGAGGGCAAGAATCTGTTCGACCCGATCGACCGTGTTAATCACCAATATGTTCTCCCATTGGCGTTGGCTCAGTACATAGGATACCTTGGGCCGCCACCGCTGCACATGCTTCAGGAGAGTCCGCTTTTCTCGACCTATTTCGATGAGAAAGGTGAGTATTCTGCTCGTCTTCTTCACTCGCTTCTCCGTCACCTATCGTCCCCACTGGTGACGGGAAGCCGGACAGAAAAGAGATCAGCTAACAATCGCAGGTAATTGGACGTTGGCTGAGGCTCCCATTCCCCAAACAAGCCTGGAAGAATTCGTCACCACAATTCCTCCCGGAGAGGAAAAAGAACAATTTCTCCGGTTCATCCGCAAGATGCTAGCTTGGGATCCAGAAGAGAGGGCGACCGCAAATGAGATGATCGATGCGGATGAATGGCTCCAGAGGCCGTTCCACGATATGATTGAAATAAAGCGCTTGGGAGATGCGCAAGAAATATGTGCCTAAGTGCCTGGGGTAAATCACCTTACATGGCTGAGACCTCACATGGCTTTGTAAGAAGCAGCATGTGGGTAGAAGGGTCCAAGTTGTTGAAAATATGTACCAGATCAGTGCAAGCAACATAAGCTGTGCCGATCCTTGCCACGCCCACGACGGCGGACCTGCAGGGGTAATGTCAATTAAGTTCCAGTTAGCGCGAACCACCTGTCTGTAAATTCTTTACATCAACCAGATTGAAACGTTTCTTTCAAAAGTTTGCCCTTTCTTAGCATTTCTCAATTAGACTCGCCTCCCTCCTCCCCATCCATTCATCCACCCAAACCCGACAAACCATGGCATCACCACCCACCCTGACCAAGGCCAGGAAGCCCGCAGCCACGCGACAATCAGCCCGGGCATAATGTGTCTAGTCACACTGCTCACGCAGATTCCCCTTCGGTCCCCGGTGCTCCCGCCCACCTCCGCCGCCGAAAAGCTCGACGCGATGATGGCGCGCGGTCTTGGGTCATCCGCGCCGCTAGGCATCTGGGCTGTAGCAATAGCTGCATGGGGCATCAACGTGACTGCATTCGACTCCAAGCGTACAAGAAACAATCCTTTATCTTGGGGCTCGTCGCGGCGAACGTCTACTTGGCCTACGTATTGTTGACACAGCCTAGTGCTCCCGTCGCTGGTGATGGCCGATTAGATCTTCCTACCTATCACCAGTTGCTCGTGCCAAATTGCGAACAGCCCAGTGTCCCTAGTGCCTTCACATTCTGACCTTTACGCCCCCGGACAGAAACGACCTAATCAAAGAATATTGTGAGGGAAACGATTATAGATTGTCTTCCTCCGCGAGTGTCCCTAAGGATGCTAGCCATCCTAATACAACTTGCCGATTTATAGCTTGTTTTTCCAGCCGGGTGCTTGCGAGGTGGATGCTTCTGAAGAAGAAAAACCGGAAAAGGAAGGATCCTGCACTCCTACCAATCTTAAGAGATGGGTAGGAAAGTCCAATGCTACCAGCAGCGTTCATTCCTCAGTTAATGCGAGTTCCTTCCATTTTCCAGCACCGTGCCTACCTGCTGTTGACTCAATCCCCAACATATAACTCCAGTCAGTCCCCGGAACTACCCAGCTCCAAACCGCTTCGCAACAATTGACATTCTTTTCTCTCACTTCTCTCACAACTTCAACCCTTTTCGCTATCCTTATAATCATAACCAGCCAAACTTACCTTTTTTACCCCCAATTTACCTATCCATCCAGATACCACCAAAAATGGCAGCAGTCCACTCCCCCGAGCAAATCGAGGCCCGCGACTACGTAGCAATCAGCCTGCTCATCCTGAGTCTGGCGACGCAGCTCGCGCATCTCCTCTTCACCGGCTCGATCGACGAACATCATTTGCCGTTTGTGCTACTTCTCGCATTGACTCTGCTCGTTGCATGGGTCGGATCCGTGATTGTCTTCGGCAGCAACCTGGCTTCCCGCGATCGACCTTTTATCTTCGCGCTCGTGGCGGTGAACTTCGTCCTGTCTTACTTGAAAGCGCGACAGCCGGATGCGTCGGCGGTGGCGTTTTTCTCCTGCATGCTGTGGTCGTTTCGTTTGGGGATGAACTTTGGAATGTTCCTCGGATCAAGGGACTGAAGTCATCATACCTACCGGTGAGTTCCATTTGGTGAGGGTTTACTTTTGCGGCAGAGTCTGAACTGAGGTTTTGCTTAGATTTACGGGGTAGATTCTTTCATTCATCGCTTCTACATATACGTTCAAATGGGGAAGTGTTTCGAGGACACGAATGGGCAACTTAGCTAGGCCGGATCGATGAATGGATGACGTTGTTGAATTATGGAATCGCTTTGTATGGCTGTGGATGGTTGTGTATGTTTTCTTTATCTTGTTCGGTCTCTTTTTGTTTGTTTCCCCTTGCTGTTCCTCTACCGGCGTCAAGAACTCTTGAGGATAGAATAGGTTAAGTGTGCTTGCTATCAATATTATGCTCTTTCTTGTCCAGAACATCAACCTAGAATATCAAGCATCCGGCGAATCAGACATCTTTACCGGATTATTACGTCTGACCGACCTCACAGCCTCCGCTTGACCTAGGGCATCACCTCCTCCGCCGCCCCCAGCCCCGCCACGCGCGACCCATCCTCCGTCTGCATCTCCCCGAACTTGACCTCAAACTCCTCAACTCAGCAGGCACATTCTCCTCCCGACCCCCCAAGCACCCCTTCATCGCCAGACCATCCAACCACTCACTACCGCGCGTAGTGCACGGTGTCCGAAACAGCCCCCTCGTGCTAGCCGAGATACCATTTCGCACGAGAGCATGGCTGCCCCATCCCAGAAACGCGAGGGCCATGACCAGCGCAACGAAGTACGGGGTGATCAGAGGCGCCGGGCGGGGGAAGCGGTAGACGTTGACGGCGATGGTCTTGGTGACTGTGGTCGTGGTCGTAGTCTGTTGGAGAGTGGGCAGCGAGATGGTGATGTTCTGCAGCAAAGACTGCAGGGCGGCCGGGCCGAGGTTGAAGACGGGCTGCTTGGCGGGGCCGCGGTAGAAGCTCGTCAGGGCGATCAGCGTGTTGGCGGTTGCAGTGGTTGAGAGTGTAGCACTTTTTCCCCTCCAGTTCCTAGTCAGTAACCAAAACTAGCCAGACGGCCAACTCAATCCACAACCGTGAAACCATCGCACCGAAAATATCTATATAGCTCGCCAACCCCAGCACGAGCGTATCCTGCACCCGCGAAGCAAGCGCCGCACAGTTCATCTCGATCTACCAGGCAGCGTGTGCCAGAGGGTGCAATCTTGCTTCACATATACGTTTTTCAAGGCCTACAAGGGATTTCTACCAGCCTGTTGGTTTAGTCCATGCATGTACGTAGGTGATGGAACATCTATTGGTGTAGGTGTGGTTAGAGACTCGGTTGGCGGTCGCGACGCCGACACCCGGCGGAGGCAAGCAAGCCCTAACCGGCAATTCTGTAGAACTCCAATTCTCGAATTCATCAATACACAAGATACCGACCATCGAGGCTTGCCGGTGACAGTGTAGCGTATCCAAGTCGGATATTCCACCCGAGACAGCAACAAGACTAACAGGTAGTGGCTCAATGCTTTGGAGTATTTCCCAAAACTACAGTACATCGAGCTCTACTGTTGCAAGGGTGACTTACTCTCTCGATGCGAGTTTTTATTTGCTTAAAGCTTGGGAATGCTCGATATAAGCGCAAAACTACCAGTTTCCAGCACATACGACCACAGGGTGTGGAAAACAGGGCTTCCCGTCCGCTCAGCCGTACTTAAGCCACACGCCGGGAGGTTAGTAGTTGGGTGGGTGACCACCAGCGAATCCCTTCTGTTGTATGTTTTTGCCTCCCCATCTTTTTTCTTTTTTCTCTTCTTTCTTTCCTGGAACTGACGAAAAGACGTCTCTTAGGCGTTGTCTTGTCCTTCCTTGTATATCCATTCACCTAATGAATATGCACACTTTCCTCCGGTGATATATCAGACGAGCATTGCCTAAGGAGTTCTTCCATTCAAACCAACACAATACGCACCCGCTTGCAAAGCTGGCTACCTTCTCCTCTTCTAGTCGAAAACCCATGAGCAGGACTTCAAATGTCGGTAGCTATCTTGAAAAATGCAATCCCGGGGATACTATACAGTCCATTCCAACTTTGACATGCGTGCCGTACCCTCTATCGGTGGAGTCACCCTAGAGTATCCATAAGACAAGGATCGACGGGCATTCAACCCATCTGACGCGCGCGTCACACTTTGATAGTCTGTCATCCTTCTGGAAGTTTTGCCCCTTTTGATCTTCGCTACGTGGAGGGGATGCAGACACTGTGCGCTTGTTTCTGCGTTTTGTCACCCGCAGTGCAAAGGAGACGGGGGCATTCGAGACTGTGATGATGTTACTATAATGAGTTGATATGGAGGTTTTGTGAGTTGGATGCTCTTGAGGAATATGGCGAACCGATTATTTACTCAGCGCCCGCTCCTACAATAGTCCCGACCCAAAGTCGAGATAATCCGATGGCTCGTCAGTCGTCCCCAATATGATATACTAGCCAAATCACTACCCGACGGCGACAGACAACCAAGACCTGCGGAAAACCATGGAACAAACAACCCCCCTCGACGCCAGCGAATCGATCCACTTGCGTACGCTGATCCCTGTTGCGGTCCCTCAAGATCCGGCAAATATCCGTCCTCACACGCCGCAAACGAGATGGATGGCTGTGCGGCATAGAAAGCTCCATACCTCGGATCTAGCGCTTGTCAAGTGGTGGTGACGCCCCCGTCCGGTTGGAGAACGGCCCACAGTGCGGTACACTGTGCATGTCGCAGCTTTTGAGAAGCAGCAGGAGAGCATCGAGTCGAGATATCACTTTCGTCCTCTCCCACCCCAGTACCTCAGTCTTGGGTGTTTGGAATAGGATGTTCATCTGGCAAGGATTGCGCTGTATACCTGGTCAGAACCCGTAAGGCCGTTCCAGCGGCGGAGTGCAAGCGGACCGTCATCTCGTAAAGCTTGTGCTCGTTGGTACACCAGAAGGAACAGAAGAGGTTATATCCGTCCAGGATGACTCGCCGCGCCGAGTAGGTGTTGTTTCTCGAGCCAACTGCCAACGTCAAACAGTCATGCTTGTCAACGGATCATCCCACCGGGCATATACGTTACACAGCACCTTCTCCCGACAGATAAATTGTCAGCGGTCCGGCCCGGCCAAGCCGCTGCGGAGGCTACCGCATCTGCTAAAGTAGCCCTAGCTTGGATGCTCTCCCACCACTGTCGGAGTGCTCCAAAGATCGCCCGTCGCGTCGGGTTCTGGACCCAGAGGTCCTCCGACTGTCAGTTCAACTAAAGGTGAACCCCCACCACCTCTCCTTCGCCCGGGTGCGACATTCGAAGAATAGAATCGTGCGGAGCCTTGAGTAGCAGCAGCAGCGGCAGCCATGAAAGCCACGCGTGCATCGGTTCGCTCTGACCAAAGTCTGGGCGGATGGTGGTCCCCGGTTCATGACAGACGGGGTCAACCAAGCTGCTCCGCGAGCCACTCTGTTGCCTGGCCGCCTGAGGCCCGCGCGTTGCTTGGAAATCGGCTTATCCGATAACGAAGCACCGCGGCGGAGGCGATGTTCGGGGCACTGAAATGGCCGTCCGACTGTCAATTGAGGCGGAGCTCTTGTAAGCGACAGCAGGCGGGCTCGGATCGCGATGCGCACAGGATAACTGTGCGCATACTGCTGGGGTCCCAGCTGATCAATAGCTTCAAGTTGTTACCAGCGTGACCACTTCTAAGACAATGCGCTGCTGGCCTAGACGGGCCAGGGGTCAAGTCTATTTTCTATCCATGAATCGCTCGGTTAAAAATTAGTACGCATATTCTTTCTGTTCGGACCGTAAAGGTATGTGTATATCATATCAGCTAGGGACTGAACTACTAGTAACGGATAAGCTAGAGCTGGGAGGTGTATAGAAGGAGCTGACTGGGGTGGAGGGGAGAGAGTCTAGAGATATACTGCAGTGGCTGATATACTTAGACTATACAATTGGGTGCACTGTGACTATAAGTGAGTCTCTGCTAGCATCATCCTGATCACACTAAAATAAATCTGTTGCGTGTTTCAAGAGAAAGTCATAAAGCCATATAGCAGATGAAATATACAAGTGAAAATAAAACCAGAGAATCTAGAGCAATACAATTATGATTCAACCTCTACTAATACTTTTCCAATAGAGGGAAGCTCTGTTTGGGGTAAGGGTCGCGGGCTAGGGCTGTCCGCCGGTGCCATATCTGACGCGGCCAGGACTGAGTTGACCAGACTGCTATTGCAGTGTTATATGAGCAATACGATAGTAATACTACGAGTTAAAGGAGCCCAGTGACAAGATTCGACACATGGTGCTATATCTATCATTCTTCAAGATAGATACTTGGCGCACCAGATCACAAAGGCTGACCAACCGAGGTTTATGTCTGATGTTGACAAATGAGATATATTCTCCTTCTTTCTTTCTTGGATTTATATAATCATTTATAAGTCTCATTCATTGAACCTTGAAGAATAATGATACTTTGGGTAGGTCTAACACCTAACTCCACCCCCGGCGCCCTTCCATCACCACAGGGCACCACCTTCCGCGTTCTACCATGACGAGGCGACCCCTTCAAGAGAAAAGAGAACAAAAAGATACTAAAGAAACCAGAACCAGAAGGAAGGGAAGATGAACGAGGTGTACAGGAGGCAGCGAGCATTCCACATCGCTGACTTGAACGGGTTGGTGCCATCTGTCGATTCACCCTCGGGGCATTTTGGTTTGAAATAATCTGGAATAAGTTTGGATCAATTTATCGGCCGCGCCAGCAAGCAGTCCGTCCTGTCACAGAAAGAAAACGGTCTGAGCCCAAGGTCAGGCGAAAAGGAGGTTGGCTCCATTGATCGATATTGATTCGAAGCGCTAGAGCCTTCGTACTAGTAATGCATCTATCCTGTTAGCCCTAACCGAGCTGACGGCCTCGGCATTGACCAGCCTTGTCAGTTTATAGTATATCTTCGCCCCTCTCTATCACCGGATGACTGATAGTCTGTTGGTCGTTTCTAATGTCGTTAACGCCGTGATCTTGATCTTGGTCCAGCCAGCCCACCGGGACACCGACTCGAGTTATCCATTGCTGGGGAGCGCTCGCCCAAATATGAGCCAGTTGCCGACGAGAATGATGAAATGTCGGAGTCCAGGGTCAAGTCACATACATCCGACGGTACGTAGTACGGAGGATGCCATGGATCAGGAAATAGTGGAACCAGGCAAAACGATGAACCACGATCAGACTGGTCTGTTTGGGAGTTGGGGCCGGGGTGATTGGTCTCGGCGGGAATTCTCACGGTGCAGTAACAGTATCTTTGAGTTTGACACTTCTAATACATGAAGTAGTAATGATTTCTGACCAACTAAGATGTTGAACACACATACAAAACAACAAGGGATTAAGAGTTACCTACTATACTTAGGGCTGGTATGTCTCCACTCAATATCTCTTACATACTCCAGACAAGATATAGAGGAGGATATCAGTAGGCGAACAACTAGTCTTCTAGTCTGTAATCGCTAGCTGCTCCTGGCCAATGGCAAAGAGGGCGTCAACAGAAAAGGATGGGCTATTACAGAAGTTTCACTGCCCGCCACGCCCGTGTTGGTCATTCTGACGTGCCCGACTTCATCACTTGTCCACACGCACGAGGCTATAATATGGAAATTCACCACCCATATCCTCCTGACGGCAGCACAATATATGATAATAGACTGTGTATTAAAATGCAAAGGCGAGTACATACAACCACAGGGTGTGGAAATTAGGGCTTACCATCTGGCCAACCGTACTCAAAACCACCTGCTCTACCAAACCCAGCTGGCTGGAATATAAGCCTTTTTGGTTGTCCGATTTTGAAAAGACAGATAAGATTTCTTGTGAAGCTGTCATTCTCGTACACAGTAGGATCATCTACAAGGTACAGTGACCAGCATCATCCAGGCAAACAGGTAAAACTGGGATATTATGATCGAATAACCATCATCTACAAATCTATGAAATACTTGTTCAGCCCCAGGTCCAAGGGCACAGATACCGCATAAGCAAGAGCCGCGTTCTATTCTATCTCTAGAGCCCCGAAACCTCCACGTCATCCCGCCGTCATCTGCGCCAGAAAGACCTGCCACGCGATGATCTCCTCGGGAATCTCCTCCCCCTCCCCCGCGGCGCCCCAGGTCTCGCGCACCCGGCGCAGCGCATCCGCCGGGACGCGTCCCTCGGCAACCAGCCCCTGCAAGAACTGCACCAACCCCCGATACGCACTGTCCAGGGCCCCGGCAATCCAGCCATGATGGGCACTGCACGCCTCGCCGACCAGGAACATGCGGCCGCCGGCCGCGGGGCGGACGAGCTCCGGGTAGAAGTGTCGGAACTGGCCGGGCCCGAAGTACGCGAACGCGCCCGCGGTGTGCGGGTTGGCGTACCAGTCGTACCCGTGGTATCCCTCGTAGGCCTGCCGGATGATGTCCAGCATCCGCGGGTATCCGTAGGAGAATCCGGTGGCCGGGTCGATGTAGTTGTGATGCAGGAGCGCCAGGTTGTGGCACAGGAAGTCCGCCACGCCGGTGGCTGTACTCGTGTCGGGGTGCAGGAGGGAGGCCATCTGCTGCGCGTCTTGGCCCCAGGTGTAGGAGCACAGGAGCACTGTGCATTGGCCCTCCCCGGATTTGGTTCCTTCAGGGTTGGGTTCGGTTGAGGGATAGACGCAGGTTCGGAGCGGGAGGTCGGTCGAGGCCTGCCCCCCCAGGATCTGGCAGTGTTGGGTCCACCAGGCGGTCCGGAACTTGATGGCGACCTTGGTGGAGGCGTCGTAGTGAACGGCGCTGACGGCCGCTTGTTGGCCGGGTCGCAGTACTCGCGGTCCCAGGGCCATGCGGCGCAGACAGGGGAGACTCGTGGTGTTGAAGACGGCCGAGTAGTGCCGGGGTTGGCTCTCGTCCCCGACTTGTACAGCCATGGGGTGTCGACGAGCGTGCGGATTATAGTTGATAGCGGTCACGCGCGCGTTAAGCGACGGCTTGACGGAAGCTCTCTCGTGCATGTGCTCGATGACTCGATCCGTCCCTCCGTCTACGCGATACCAGTCCACGCTCTCGGCATTCTCGAAGGGGTAGTCGAAATCCATGGCATCCAGCACGGCTTCCGTGAATGACTGGTCGTATAACCCGGCAGCACTAGATATGATTGGTAAACCTTTAAGAGGGATAGAATCACCAGGACATATCACCACTCACCTCCCCACGGTTTCCATATACCAGATCGAATAGAAGTCCAGCCCCCTAGATAATCCAACTTGTCTCGCGATTAGCGTATCTGAAAAGCAACAGCAGCAGCATCAATCGAGAGTTCTCACGTACAATATGTCCTGCAAGAACTCGCGTGTCGTCATATGGTCGTACTTCATCAGCTCCTCGAACCCCTTGGGGAAGTCTTCGGACAGCGCCGCGATAAAAGGCGCAAAAGCCCGATTGAGAATACTTGGGGCACCCTCGGCAACCGTCCTGTCCCTGGGTATCAGCTGGGCCCCATACTTGTCCAATCAGTTAGAAAGCTTGCGAGACGTTACTTGTCCGGAACCACACCCCCCTCCGACACACTCAACCGAAATGGATCGTCGGCCGGGTCGGAGCCAGCCTGCTCGCCTGGCAGTAACCACACGCCATTGAACATGGCCGGACATCGTTGGCCCTGGTAGTCATATGGCAGCAAGACGGTCCGGCATCGAGCGAACAGGTCGAAGGCGCTGTAACGGGTGGCATCCGGTCAGATGGGCCGCCCAGAATGGCAGAAAGAATCGAGTGGGATGGGCTTACGAACGCAGAGGGGGAATCTATGGCAGATTTAGCGATGACATGGCACAATCCACGATGCTGCGCTTCTCCCTTTTTATTTTTATACAGAGGGTCGGGTCTATTGTTTACCTTGGGAAATCGCATGGCTCCGATGTCGTAGTACTCTGCCCGCCCCGGGCCAAACCGATGAGTATACACCCGGCCCCCGACCCGGGCGCTGGCTTCCAGAATCTCATAGCAAAGGTGCGGCAGCTGCAGACTGTCAAGCATCATCGCCAGATACAGACCGGTGATTCCGGCGCCGATAATGCAGATCCGAAGTGGCTCGGGGTCTGCGGTGGTGGCTGGTTGTCTCGTTGGCGGTGGTCGTGGGAGGCGACGACAACTGTTGTCGCCGTTGGGGCATAGGGAGGGGTCGGGAATCACCCAGGCCCAGTCGCTCTCGTCGCATGGGAGATCCAGGTCGGCGATCTCGCGCTCGAGGTGGCGGATGAGCGTCGATTGGGCCCACTTGGCTCGGATGGAGGCTGACTGGGGCTGCTGCTCCATAGCACTTTCTGAAGCGCTTGGCTCAAGTCTGCGAGTTGGACGGGGGTCTGTCCTAGCCAAAGCCTTCTCTATGCATCATCCATCCCTTATATTTACTATGTGTTCTACTGCTGCTTGCTCTTACCCATGAACAATGGCGTGGCTGATGCTTGTCAGAGGGAGAAGAGCTTTGCTTGTTTTAAGCGGATCTTCAATGCAAGGGAAACGGAACTACATGTCAAACCTTAGATTCTAGACTTGGCGGAACAAGGCTCAGATGTCATACGTTCCATGTCCATCGCTCACACTGGTGATAGCGGTGTGGGATGTGATAGGTGGATGGTTGAAGGAGGTGAAGACCGCGGACAGACAAGCAGCATGGATGGACAGAAGACCTAGGCGAGTCTCAAGCAGCATAGGTTGGATTGAGGTAAGGTTCGGCCTTTCTGTGGAGCCCCCTGTGGGAGTGGCTCTCACCGGTGATGGAGTATCTCATGTAACCTTGGGGAGAATGAGTGTGTTTTCCCTGGCAACTACCACCGGCGAATCCGGTAAGGGGGGGGTGAAAGGGTTTGTCCTCCCAGCCGAATGCACCCTTCGTCCTGCAGCAAAGATTGGCAGGTGAGATCTTCTACACTAGCTATCTATCTTTTACACTATCACGTCAGAGAGACAAGAAATTCCTTGGTTTCCGGCAAGGGTCGAATCGATAGTCAGAAAGAAGTACGGATTCATGCATCATCCGCCCTTACATGTCAAGAATGGGCAGTGGTGCCCCTCCCTCGCGGGATTCTTTTCTTTGGTATGAAAGAGATAGTCCTTGCTTTTCACACTACCCTGTTACCTCTTGAAGAATTCAAGTCAGCCGATAGATAATCATATTTCCTCGATTGGTTCGTTGTAACGATTGTCGGCATTTCAAGCAAGAGAATCTTTGGGCCAGGATCCCTTCTAATTCTGCAAAGCTTTATAGAACTTTATATAAGAAGTAGGGGCCACGAACGGAGAAACTCTGGGTCCCAATTATACCGCCTAGAATACCTACCACGTACCCTACCTAACTTTAAAGTCTTCCACCATACTTCCCTCCCCTCCTTGGCATACCCAATCAGCATGTCGTGCACGGCCACAGAAACTCAAATCCAAGAACGGGAAGACTTCTACGACTCCCCTTATCTGGCCGAGCACTACGACCTGTTCTCCGCACGTTTCTGGGAGCCGGAAAGGCTCGACGTGCCCATCTACCAGAAGCGTTCAAACAGGCCCGGAAAGCGCACGACCCGACTTCCACCCACCCATTCATCGTGCTGGACGTTGGGACCGGGTCCGGGCGTGTGCTCAGTGGCTTGGTGCTCGGGGCATGCCAGGATGCGCAGGTAGATCTGGCCGACGACGACATTGAGTTTGTGGGCTTGGATGTGTCGCCGCACATGCTGAGTCGGGCCGCGGAGACCCGCCCCATTCCGCGGGGCATCTGTACCTCGTGGGTCCTGGGATCTGCCCTCGACCTTCGCGCCATTCCCCTCCTGAAAGGGGGGGATGCCGTGAAGGTGGACTTTCTGGTCTTCGCCGCCGGAGGCATCGCCCATCTGGTCGACGCGGGTCAGACTGAAGCGTTCCTCCGGGAGGTGGCTGCGGTGCTCCAGCCCGGCAGCGGACGAGCCTTCGTGTCGTTCATGAATGCGGTCATGGACAGTGCCGACGAGGAATCCATTGATCCGGTCAAGGAGCAACAGGAGCTCCCTAGCGGGAAGTTTCCCGGTATCGTCTACCGAACGATCAACGCCAGTTCGGAGATCGTGGGGAAGACGCACATTGACAGACGCGACATCCTCGTCATCAAGAAGGAGACCGATGGTTCTGAGCGGGTCCTGGAAAGAAACACCATCTCAACGAGATTGGCATCGTGGAGCCCCGAGGAGTTTGCTGGGATGGTCCAGGCGACGGGACTTGAAATTGTCGACACCATCAAAGAACGCGTGGAGACCTATTATGCTCTGAAATTGCGAGGTTGAGAATCCAGTCCTCCATTGCTAGGATCCCAAGCGAGCAGTCGATTGTCAAGCCCACAGAGCAATTTGAGATGGGAAAAATGGTGACCCTTAGAGGATACAGTTCTGTATCAGGGAGTGGGCGATATCAGCTGGTAGTATCAGTTTCTACATGTCGATTTACTGTTATAGTAGGTGACCCTGTAAAGAATCCCTACTAAAAAAGAAATAAAAAATAAAATAAAAACACTAGATTACAAGCTATAGTGATGGCAAGGCTAACTGGATGCTGCTGGTATTTCCAGTCAATAGAGTACTAGATAACCGTATACAGCCCTTTCCCCAGCCAGTCGGCTAGCCACCCCAACACAAAATCTTGTACAACAAATCACAAATCGATGATTACGACCTAATTATCCGACTTCGTTCGTGAACTGAGGAGGAGCCAAGTATCCGAGAAGGCGTAACACTTCTCCAACCCTATAGTGTAAAAATAACAGGTGAATTAATTTATCCAATCCATGTTAAGTACTTTCTTTGAGCTGACTGTACAAACAGGAGGGCATGAATCTCCAATAGAAGATAATCCCCCGGACCATGCCATCAGTGAGTTCGGATAACTCTAAAGATCAGCTACTCACTACATCGTCACAAGCGGGTCTTTTCAACGAGATGTCACATTCTGTTCAGTTTCACTGAGCTAACAACAGGAGGAGTCAATCTACCAGTGACTAGGAAGCCACAAACTAGAGAGCAGAGCATTTGCCCTGCTGATCGCTCCGCGGACGGAGAAGCACGGCCTATCTCCCCATGCTGAGTAGTACTTGATATCAGCCGCGATGGGGAGACTTCTGGTGCGCGACGGGCCTTCTACGCGAGCGAGCGAGCCCGAAGATCTTCGCTCTGGGATTTGGAGTTGGGATCCAGGTAGGGCTTGCCCCCGATGGAGACCGCACGGAAGGCGAGCCGCTCCTCGGAAACATTGCTGGATGAGGAGTCAGCCTCGGTTGCTGGATCGGAGATCCAGGGGAAAGTGAGAAACTTACTAGGTGGGGTTGTGGAAAACCGAACGGCTAGAGAAGAAAGATGTTGGTCAAAACTCCATCGGTCCATTAAGGAAGAGAGAGGGGGAGGGGGCTATTTCGACTCACTTGTCCCAGATGGCAATGTCGTTGACCTGCCAGCGGTGACGAACGTGGAGCTCGTGGTTGTCCGTGATGAGTTTCAAGACTGGATTACGGAATCTATCAGTGGGGCCTGCGCCAGAGAACGAGGGAGAATAGAGGGGCCACCAACAGTAAGCTTGCAAGAGCTGGTTTTCGTGCTCAGTCACCCCCTCAATTCCACCCTGGGAGACCTGCCATCCCAGGCCAAAGAGACTCTTCCACCCAGTGACGGGGTTGGTCTGCACAACGGGGCTTTCGGGCGGGTTAGCAGGGATTTGCGCTGTACCAAAACGATGGGGCTGCATGGTCCTTACTGGGTCGCGGAGAAGTGGTCGCCAACGTTCTCGGGATGTCCACGCTCCTCGGTGCGGACATCCAGACCCTTGTGGGTCTTGAGAGGTGTGATATCGGGCTCGCCGTGAGTAGCTAGTAGAACCTGTTAGCCGTTGCGAAAGAGATAAACTGGGACTCGAGTGGCCACACCTTGAAGGGACTCGGCGAGCTTCTGGAATGGGCCCGAAAGACGTTCGTAGATGGCATAAGATGACGCCCAGACAGTATCACCTCCCGTCTTCGGAGCCTTGACCATCTTGAATCCAGAGTAGTCTGCCGGCACATGTTCGTAGGACTCGCTATTGGAGGTTAATAAACTGCGCCGTGCATAGATGATGGGCAGGAGTGGGCTGTCGCGTACTCGGTATGCCATCCACGGCTGGAAAACTTCATCTCTGCAACAGAGAGGAAGTTGTCAAAGGCGCTCTGGTTGTTCTGAAGACAACAACTTGCTTAGCTCATCGGCTTTCCACCAACAGTAGCTCAGATTGACATACAACAGAGGAGACGGCGTAGAGCTCGGGATCCATTGCTTCGGCAACGCCGAGGTGCTTGTTGTTGGTGCTCGAAAAGCCATGTTTGTGGAGGCGAGATTCTTGAGGCTTGCCGGTGAGAACTCCAAACCGGTGAACCAACTCCTTGAATTGACCCATGGAGATATCCTGGTTGTGCAGAAAAATTACTCCCCGCTCAGCAGCTGTTGGAATGTGTTGAAGTGTATGTCAGCCTATCAGGGGAGATCTCGCACAATTGCTTGCAAGACGAACCCACCGACAATGGCCAAATCGCGAATTTTGGCGTCATCATTCAGGATACTGGACAACTGAAGGTCTGGATAGTCACGCCCAAGTGCCGGGGCGACCTCGGTATAGGTGTACTCGTTCAGAGCACCGCTGACTCTCATGGGCTTGGGGAAGCTGGGGGTCTTGGGAGCCGAGGGGATAGTCATTGTGTGGGGATAACGCTTCTGTGGAAGTAAAAGCAATTGATTGTATGTGATTGAATCGGAGGTGATGAGAAACCATGGCCTGAAAGGGCGAGACGACCTATATGTGTCACAGGCATTGGCACGAAGGGGATGACGTCTTGGCTAGCGAATGACCACGATCGTAACCTCTCATGTAAGGACGCTTGTCAGGAATGTAAGAGTGGTTTTTTTTAGGGAAGTGGGGAAGGCAGATGTACATATGTATGTGTATGTAGCATGCAGGGGAAAGGACGTAAATCCGGTATTGAGCAACGCAAGGATTGTCGAAGTCCCATTTGCTCCTAGTGCTGGCGGTGAGCGGCCTTGCTACTCTCTACGGTAAATGTACACTGCATCCATCATACTGTACATCTTACCCTAGCTGAACATTCCAGTCGCAACCCTTCTCGGCCCGAGCTATTTATATGTTTATACGCACTCGACGGACAACTTCGTTCTCCAAGAGCTTTGCAAGTTTCTGCCAGAATGCAGCAACCTCTCCTCGTCTCAGAAGCTTTGCCAGAGCCTCTGCCAACGGCTTTTGAGACCAAGAGGAGGATTGTGAGCTTGGCCTTGGCCATCGTTTTATATCACTACACCCGAAACGATGAAATTGAGATCGGATTGTTGGCAGAAGACGGGGACCTCCAACGGTCCGAGTTTATTCGATACTGTCTGAATCCGCAGGAAAGCATACAGAATGAATTGGCCGCCGAGGAACAAGAATTAGGTGCGCTGCATGAATTGGCACTCCTGACCCTGGAGTGGGACTATTCGGCACCGTTCAGAGCCTGCCTCATTCAATCAGCGCAATCCCCTGAAAAAATCGCACAAAGACTGCAGGATGGACTTCAGCAAGGTCACTGGCTCATGGTGGTGTGGGAGATGGAGAAGGTCTCTTTGCTCTCTGATCCTGCGATATTCTCCCCGCAACAGGCACAAAGAGCGGTGCGGCAAATTACCATCGCCATCTCAGCCATCTCAGCCATCATTGACGGAGTAAACCTCGATAAAACAACTAGAGTCGGCCAGGTTGAACTAGTCTCCGAAGAGGAGAGACAGCAAATCTGCCAGTGGAACTGGACAAATTTTCATGGTGTAGGGGCCTTTGATACACACAGTCTTCTTCGACCAGAAACGACAATTCATGCACTGGTCACCTCTCAGGCTTCCCGCAACCCCAAAGCCCTAGCTGTGGATGCGTGGGACGGACGACTCTCCTACGAAGAGGTTGATGCCCACGCAACAGCGCTGGCCCAGAATCTGCTGCGGCAAGGCCACCAAAAGGGACGGATCGTTCCTCTCTGCTTTGAAAAGTCGCGCTGGACGGTGGTCGCCGCCCTAGCGACGCTGAAAGCTGGCGGAGTGGTCACTTTCATGGATCCATCCTACCCCGATGCTCGACTGCAGGCGATTGTACAGGCGAGCAGCTCGACGACCGTGTTAGTCGCCGCTTCGCATGCGGGTCGATTCTTGGGCAAAGTCGCTCGGACGATCGCGGTCTCGACGGAGACACAGCAGGACTTGATCAACATGCAGGCTTCATATCCGCTGTTGTCGCTCCCTACTACCACCTCCGCAGATGCGGCATTCATTCTCTTTACATCGGGCAGCACCGGAGTTCCCAAAGGGATCATTCAGAGTCACCGCGCAGCAAGCCATACAGCCATCAGTTCTGCGCGCCGCTTGAATTTAACCCCGAGCTCTCGCGTGCTCCAGTTCTCGGGGTACGCCTTCGATGTGAATGTGATCGAGACATGCATGGCGCTGTGTGCGGGCGCCTGCCTGTGTGTACCATCGGAGCACGACCGGCTGAACCGGCTCTCCCAAAGCGCTGCCGGCATGCGAGTCGATTTCGCCTACTTAACCCCATCGACCGCTCGAATTCTCGACCCGAGCGAGTTGCCCAGTCTCCAAACCGTTGTTCTGGTCGGGGAACCAGTGCCGCAAGACGTGTATCAGCGCTGGATGGACCATCCGGTCCGACTGATGAACGGATATGGCCCGGCAGAGTGTTCCTTGTGTGCCGTCTGCGACTTTGGGTCCACTCCAGTCCAGAATGCCATTGGGACCCCCTTAGACATGACCTGCTGGATTGCAGACCGCGACGAGCCCGACCACCTGGCACCTTTGGGGGTGGTCGGCGAGCTGCACTTTTCGGGGCCTCTGCTGGCGGACGGCTATCTCAATGACGAGGAACGAACGCACCAACGATTTGTCCAAGATCTAACCTACATGGATCATGTGTCCCCGCCAGCCTTGATGGCTAACGGCGGCCGTCGGGTGTTTCGCACCGGTGACCTGGCTCGCTACAACGAGGATGGTACCCTGATCTTTGTCGGCCGAGCCGACACGATGGTCAAACTCCGGGGCCAACGCATTGAACTGGCGGAAGTCGAGCATCATTTATCCCAATGTTTCGGAGACCGATTGCGGTGGGTGGTGGACGTCGTTATCCCGGCCGGTAATCGAGATCAGCAGCCACTGTTGACGGCATTCGTCGCCGCAGCGGCGACTGACGGCGTTTCCTGCCCGCAGGAAGTTCATTTCCTCCAGAATCAGGAGACGGACTCACTCCCCTCATTGGAAGCAGTCAGGTCGGCGTTGTCTGCAAGGCTGCCCCCTTACATGGTTCCTCAAATCCTCCTCCCTCTTACCCAGCTGCCGATGACCGCCACCCAGAAGAGAGACCGCAAGCGACTGAAGGAGTTGGGATCTAGTCTCACTATGAAAGAGATATCCGCCCTTATGAGTGCGGAAAACGCGTGCCAAGGACAAGGAACGCAGTCAAGGCCACATACCCCGCCGCGGACTGCATCCGAGAGTCTGCTGCAGCAGCTGTGGGCGGCGGTCCTGGGTATTGACGTGGGTGAGATCGGGGTTGAAGACAACTTTTTCTTTCTGGGAGCCGACTCGGTGAGCGTCATGCGGCTGGCTGCTTTGGCCCTGCAGAAGGGTCAGCAGCTCCTGGCGTCTGATATCACGCAATATCCTGTCCTGGAGTCGATGAGCCAGTTCATGTCGCCGGCTCCCTCCCACACTACGCGGCATCCGTGTCATATGATGGAGACGTTCAATGGAGGTGTAGATGCGCCTCTTAGTCACATTTTGCAGACTCTGGAGGTTCCAAGCGACGAGGTGGTCAACGCGTATCCCTGCACTCCCTTTCAAGAAGGGCTGTTGGCCGTTGCCGCCTTACACCCCCACTCGTATAGGGCTAGGTTCGCGTTCCGGCTGCCCAGCTCCGCAGTGCCAGCTGCGGTCGATGCCGCCTGGCAAGCCGTTCTCAGCAAGAATGAGATCCTCCGTACGACGTTCCTGCGGTTCCCCTCCGGAGAAATAGCCCAGATAGTGCGGAAGACCGGAAGGGCACTGGAAATCTACCCTTCTTGGGCAGCATACAGCCGAAGGAGGGAGGAGAGTCCCTTGAAGGTCACCATGCGGGAAAGCGGCAGGATTGACGTCCCCGTTGCAGCTTCGCTGCTGGTCGATGAACACCCGAGCGTCCTGATCTTGGAACTGCACCATGTACTCTACGATGGGTGGTCGCTTGAACTCCTGCTCCATCAATTGAACCTCGCGCTCAGTACCGACGCCAACGAGACTCTTCGCGATGTCGCTCCGATGTCGCGGTTCGTGGAATACATAACGAGACTCGATAGGAAGGCTGCTCTAGACTACTGGAAATCGCTCCTAGCTGGGTCTGAGGCAACTTCCTTCCCTTCGCTGCCGTCTGGGGTATACAGCGCTAAGACAAATGAGACGATCCGGCTGACCGTCCCATTGCCGGCCGCCACGAACAACCTTCAGCGATCCTCTGAGATCCAGCTGGCCTGGGCGCTTGCTGTCACACAATATACAGGCAATCCGGACGTAACCTTCGGTCTCACGGTCAACGGGCGCTATGCCCCGCTGCCCGAGATTATGGACATTGCAGGCCCGACCATCTGTGCCGTGCCAGTCCGCATTCAAATCGGCCCACAGCGTACGCTGGAGGATGCGCTGCAGGACCTTCAAGACCAATCGGCCGGGAGGGTCCCCTTTGAACAAATTGGATTATCGGCCATCGCACAAACCAGCGAGGATGCTGCCACCGCATGCGGGTTCCAGACATTGATGGTTATACAGCCCGCGGAAGAGGCAATCAAGAGGGCATATGCGGGCTTGGGGACCCTGGAAGAGAGCCTATCTGAGTATGACGAGTCGCAGCCATATGCCCTTACCCTGGAGTGTACGAGGCAAGCCGAGGCTATAGAAATTCATGCTCGTTATGACAAAGGGGTGGTTCCACCCGAAGAAATGCTGGGAGTTTTGCAAACTTTTCGCAGCAACCTCCAGGCTGTCGCAAACAGCGCAGCGCCATTGAACGCTTTCATCCTGAGTACATTCGGACACCCTGCACCCGAGCACGTGCAGCTTCTTCGCCAGTGGAATGGCGATGAGCCGCCAAGGTATGACAGATTGATACACGACCTGATCGAGGATACGGCTCGCGCTCATCCAGACATGCCAGCAGTCGAGGCATGGGACGGAAATTTCAGCTATACGCAGCTAAATCGGTACGCAAATGGTGTTGCTCAAACCCTGCGCAATGCCATGCCTCCAATGGGGCCTGTTCGGCGCCTGATAGTGCCAGTGTGCTTCGAAAAATCCGCATGGACGGTCGTGGCCATGTTGGGTATTCTCAAGGCAGGCCATGCCTTTTGTATGCTGGATCCTCAACATCCGCTCCCACGACTGCAGTCCATCGTACAAGATGTCGATGCGCAATTTGTTCTATCTTCGCCTCTTCATGAGTCGCTGGCGCTGTCTCTCTGCCCGAATGTGATCGTTCTACGTCCGGAGCATGCCATTATCGGATCTTCAAACGTTCTTTTTCAGCACCAAAGAGCCCAGATATGTCAACCCTCTGACCCCGCGTATGTGATCTTCTCCAGCGGCTCGACTGGGACTCCGAAGGGGGTGCTGATAACTCATTCTGCATTCGCGTCGAGTGGGATCGCCCACCAGCGCGGGTTCCACATCGACTGGGCCTCGCGCGTCTTGCAGTTCGCGTCCTACGCCTTTGATGCCTGTCTGGTAGAGATCCTCACCCCGCTGATTGCGGGCGGCTGTGTATGTGTGCTCTCTGACCAGCAGCGAATGAATGAACTGACCTCGGCTACGACGGCGCTGCGCGCTACCGTCGCCTTCTTCACGCCATCCTTGCTCCGCAACTTTGTTCCCGCAGATTTGCCGTCACTCAAGACCATTATTCTCAATGGAGAGGCAGTGGATGGCCCGGTGGTTGCGACATGGGCTCCGCACTGTACGCTTGTGAACGGGTATGGCCCGTGTGAATGCTCGGTGGTTTGTGCGATCAACCCGGCGGTCGATTCCAACACGCAACCGGGCAACATCGGCCATTCAGTGGGCGGGACCTGCTGGGTCGTGAACCCGCAAGACCATCACAGTCTCGTTCCCATCGGCGCCGTCGGGGAATTGGTCGTGGAAGGCCCCATTGTGGGCTCGGGCTATCTCAAGAGACCCGAGCTGACGGCGGGACTGTTCATCAAGGCTCCCCGGTGGCTGAGGGAATTTCGAAACACCTCGCCTTTGTCCAACGCCCATCTGTATAAGACTGGTGATCTCGTGCGTCAAGAATTCGATGGGTCCATGGTATATGTGGGACGCAAGGACACCCAAGTGAAGATCCGCGGACAGCGGGTAGAGCTGCAAGAGATTGAGACGAGAATCATCACACTCCTGGGACCTGAAAGCACTGGGGCACAGGTGATCGTTGAGGCCATCAAGCCACCTGAGGCGCAAGCTGGCGCAGCCGTATGCCTGGTGGCATTTATACAATATAATCCTGGAGCGAAAAAGGAGAACATACTGCAGTCGACTGACATTATTGAGCCTATGCCCGAGTTGACCTGGTTCGATCTCGTCCGGCAAATCAAGAACGATCTTCAACAAACCCTTCCAGCGTACATGATTCCTTCCCACTTCGTGCCTCTGGTGCGCGTGCCCCTGATGGTGTCCAAAAAGGTTGATCGAAGACGATTGCGAGAGTGCTTCCAGAAGCTTTCTGCCGACGCCCAAAGTCAATTGACCGGCCGGTCGAATAGTTCTCGATTCTCGAACAAGCAGCTCCAACCATGGAGTCCCATAGGCCAAGCCCTGCGCGACATCTGGGCGGAAACGCTGCGCATCACGGCCGATGATGTGGGCCCGGATGACAACTTCTTCGGCCTCGGGGGAGATTCCATTCGTGCAATGAAGCTGGTGGGAATTGCGCGGAGAGAAGGCTTCGAGCTGTCGGTTCCCCAGCTGCTACAGAACCCGACTATCGCGCAGTTGGTCCAGTTGCTAACAACACCGTTGCCTTCGCCTCTGACCCCATCTTCTACGAACGACTCTACCGATCTCGACGTTGGCGGCACCGACGTGCTATCCTCACGATCGTCGAGTCCAGCGACCAAGAGCTTCTGCTTGGACGACGATCTGCAAGGTCTTGGGGCGCTGGAGGCTGCCGGCTGTGCCGTGGTGCAACGCTTCCCGGCAACGGATTACCAGTCCGTTGCTTTTCGACTCGCGCAGTCTAAGTCTCGAAGCATGCTGAATCACTTCGTGATCGACCTCACCGGGTCTCTCGATCTGCCCCGGCTGGAAAAGGCCTGTCTCGCTTTGATCGAATCTTGTGATATCTTCCGCACCGTGTTCGCCTCTCCCAGCCGGGGCGATGGGCCCTTGACACAGCTCGTCCTGGATCGTTTGCCAGCGGACCAGATCTACAATCACATATTCGCGATCGATCTCGCCCGCGTCACGGACCAGTTAATCTGGTCGGATCGGGTCCGAGGGATCTCCTCATGCGAGCCGCTGGTGAAGATCACCACCATCAGTCCCACGACCTCTCTTCCCGGCGATGCTTCCTCCTCGGGTGCCGATTCAAGCCATCGCCATCGACTCCTCATCAAGCTGGTACATACGCATTACGATGGGATCTCAATGCCTCTCGTCCTAGAGCTCCTGTCCCAATTCTACCGGACAGGGTCACGATCACTCCCCGTGACAAACTGGTCCGATTACATGACCACCTCTGTCCTGCCGTGGCAGGCCTCTGCAGACGCCGCGCGGGCCTACTGGAGGAAGTACCTGGCCGGCATCACTCCCATCCCGCCACGGATCAGTAGGCCCGCTGATCATCTCGAAACCCTGCACCACCACCACAGCACCCTCACCCGGATCCTCGCGCTGCCAAACCCGCACCCCGACCCCATCAAACCATACAGCCTCTCCTCCATCATCGAAGCGGCATGGGCCATCACCCTCGCCCGCTGGTCCGGGGCCCGGGATATCCTCTTCTGGCGTCTGTCAGCCGGGCGAGCCGACCCCGGCTCCGAGAACGTAGTCGGACCCTGTCTAGTCTACACCCCGGTGCGGGTAGATCTCAGCCACCACCACCAGCGTACTTTCGCCGAGACGATCCGCACCATCCAAGAAGCCAAATACGCCGGCTTGCCATACGAGCGCCTCGGACACGAGGGGATCGCCCGGGCATGCGGCTGGCCGACGGCGCCGCCCATAGCCCGGTTTGCGTCGCTGGTGCAGCACCAGAATATCGAGGAAGCGCGGACGGTGCGGTTGGACGAGGGGTTGGAAGGGCGGGTCACGGATCTGGGGCCCCTGGAGAATGCCGGCGAAATCTCGGTGTTTACGCAGGTCCAGAAGGGGGGGAGGATCTTGGCGATTAACTTGAGTGCATGGGAGGAGGATCGAATGGGCGATAGGTCGAAGCTTGAGGCGGTGGGGAGGCAGAAGGGTCAAGGGTTGTTGGATATGCTGTGCGCGGTGTTGGAGGAGGGGTTGGACAAGCCCTTGGAGGCGCTGGATTTTATTAATGCTTAGTGATCATATGGTCACTTCTGGGTGGGGGTTAGACTTTTGAAGATAGAGCAAATAGATTTCAGGTCACGTTCGTCGGATTCATCGGAGGCCTTCTACGTAAAAATGAAGATGGGTCGGTGTGGCTATGGATGGTCAGGCGGACGGGCGAATGCTGCTCAAAAGATGGAGGGGAGGAGTAGCCGGTTTGCATGACGACGACGATGAAGAATATGATGATGAGGATGAATGGAAAAGCAATATTATAGTGACAGGAGTAGACTATTTGTTGTGTGCGATTTTACAGCACAGTACCCTCGTATCCGACTCAGGCGTGGTCTACTAAACCCCCGGCACCCAGCGGCAATCGACCATGAAGCCCTAACTACCACCGAATGTTCCGATCTATCAATCCATCCTCTGTTTTTCCCATCTGCTCCTTCGCCCCGGATATAAAAGAAACCGACCGCCACCCTGAGTCTTTGCTTGGACCATGCAATAAAGATTAATCATGTAGTTCGAATGAATGACTATACATGAATTACTCCGACTGAAACCTTCTCCTTGGCCTTACCTTAATATGCCACTGGGCTTCTTCCCGCCGCTCTACAAGCATTCGAACGTCTATCCTATCCAGTTCTACGTGCATAGCTCAACGATACAAGCACAATACACCTCTTGGGTACTGCTAGAATCAATCCAAGCGGAAAAAAATCCTTTTCTATTTCTACCTTTTTCTTTCTCTTTTCTCTTTTTTTCTCCATTCCTTTCTGTATCACAACCGTAACCCAACAAACGGAGAAACAACAAGAACAAAACAATAACCCAAAGATACTTTCCCCCATCTTGCAGCAACTCTACAGTGAATCAGAGCCATCAAGCCTTAGCAGAAGGACAGACCTTCCCAGGCCCCGGCTTGCCTTTCTCCGGGTCATCGACCCACTCCATCTCATAGACATTGTAGTTGATCAGCATGACCTCGATCTTGCCGGCATTCCCATCAATCAAAAAAGTGTCAATGCCATCCAGCACCTGCAGGTTATGGACCTTGTCATGGTACTCCCAGCGCTCAGTGACCCAGCCCTGCTTGGGGACGACATGGGTGCCGATGATATTGTACTGGGTGGTGGGGAGCACGCTGTTCAGCAGCCGGGCGGACTCCTGGATGCCCTCGTGGTGGTACAGGATGCGGTCGAAGGTGCCGACGAAGGCCATCTTGAGGTCGACCGAGTAGTTGCGCGCGATGTCCAGCGGGATGTCGCCGATGTAGCGGAGCAGGATGTGCTCCCAGTAGACCGCGGCGACGGTGCGGCCCGTGTCGGCCGGCAGCGTGGCCGGGTAGTCACTCAGTAGATACTTGAGCACCTCCGGGGGCGGCTTGCTAGCCGCGTCCTCGATGTTGTCGGACATGATGGCGAACTGCGCCCGCAGCCACTCCGCGCCCTGCGGGAGCCGCGGGTCCGTCACGATCAGCTCCGGGTGGTGCGCCACGATCCACTCCGCCACCGCCTTGTGCGAGTCGCCTTGGTCCAGCGTCAGCTTGAGGATCGTGTAGCTGTCGCTGTCGCGGAGGGTCACGTCCGCCCCCTTAGAGGAGAGGAGCTCCACCGCCGGCTGTTGGTTCGCGATCGCCGCCGCCATGATGGGCGTGATGCCGTGGCATGCGGTGCATTTCATGTTGAGGCGCTCGGGGTTCTCTGACAGCAGCCGTTTGATCTCGTCGAGGTTGCCGGTCTTGGCGGCCGCGAAGATGGCATCGCATTTGACGATGGGGTCTTCGTCGTCTTTGGTTCTTTTGTGGTGGACAGTCTTGCTGTGGACGGGAGTAGGTCCGTTCTGCTGAGGCGCGGAAGGCATTTTGGAAGAGACTCGTTGAAGATGCGCGAGGGTTGCGATTGATCTTAGGATTGAAGGTCTTGGTTTCTTTCTGGTTCTGAAGATGGTGAGTTTTAGCAACGTTGACTTGGTGCCTTTTATATCCGGATGTCCTGCATTAGAGACTTGAGATAGAAGCTCTGTGGCATCCACTGTACTGCACGGAGTCAATGACGTTGGAGATACCATTACCGATGATACATGCTACTGTGTCATTCTGGCTCCCACTGGTAGCACTGTAGCAGCATGACGGCAGAGATGGGGAACGAAGAACCTTCAGACTGAAAACGGATGCCTGAGACATGATCTCGATGTTCTATCTATCTCGGCCGGTGATGTTTCCGGCGTGGAGGCGAGGTCTGGGCTATCTTGTCACCGAAACAGTCCCACAGATATGCCTAGAGTCGTTCCAGCTTTGCTGGTAAGGCTACTGGCAGACGTCATGACGTGAAGCCATGTTGCATCATGTGGAGATTCATGGCATCTCTGCGGTCTTTGAGGGAGTCACGGTTACCTGGATCTTCTGAATTTGGTAGTTCCGTGTGGTGTAGTTTGGGACGAGAGAATCTCTGGACGGCTAGTAGTGAGGTCATGAGGTTGATGCTAGACGTCGATGAATGGCTACGTTAGCTTGCCAGAATAGTATAATCTACGCAAACGTGTCTGCAGACATGCCCTTCGACCGCAGGCGGGTATGGCTCCCAATGACTCCAGAATGCTCACTGTTCCAGCTCTACAGTCAATTATGTCACTACCAAAAACATCAAGAGCCATGGCTCACCGGGTCTGAATTCAGAGGATATTCATGGTCTGACGGGGGGATGATTCTTACGTCGATAATACTTCGAGGCGTATCCATTGATTGAATCTGCTAGCTAGCTCAGTTTCCTGCGTCAGTAATGATCCAGCCCTAGCTGCGGGAACTTGGCGAATAGTCGAGACAGAGCGAGGATTCTCCGCCTGAAATCATGACCGTGGTCGACTGACTGAATGAAGGTCAACTTGAAAGAGCAGCTTCAGAGAGCAGCGGCAGCATGGTTTCGAGCCCCGAGATGGCACCGCAAACATATCCACTGAAGTGTAGTAGCTGATTCCATTTCCGAGCCAAGTCTAGATCACTCCAGCTCGAGCATCTTTCTCTAATCAGAGCGCGGCCCGTTTGTTAGTGTCGGAACCGGCTTCAGCTCACGCAAGCACTCAGACAGTAGAGCTGAGTTTACTGTTCGGGTTGACTTCATCTGTGTGATTCCTCGGGGCAAGAAAACGATATCTCCATGCGACTGTCTCTCCCCAATGAATCTCCAAGATATTTGTCGGTGAATGTAGTACCTTTATGGCCCAACGAAGACAGGAATCTCACCTTGTAATCCAGCAATTGGGATGAACTGTTTGTTGGGCGGGCACCTGAAGATTACCGAAGATCGACAAGAGCGTGATGGATCTCACTCCCGCAGGCGTAAAGAAGACCTTTGTAGCCACCCAGCAAATAGGATTCCTCTCACTAAGGGTTCTTACCGCTGTAGTAACCGTATACCTATTGGAATACTGTAAGCACCTCTCTTCTCTTCCCGGGTCCTAAGCTGAAACTACATCCCCCCTTAAGCTTCTGCACTCCCAGGGGATCATTAGAGGGCTTTATCACGTGATCGATCGGATCCCTTGTTGTAGGATGTTAGGATTTTTAGAGGCCGCAGGTAGTATTATTCGATTTCTAATCAAGCGACCTGTTTTATTATTCTTTGATATCGAAGTCGTTGAGGAGTATATGTGTATTCGATTCTCTCGCGTGTGGTTTCGCCAGCAGATTTCTCATTTGCTTTGCCCAGTGGCCGCAAAGGTCTGCCGTACAGGCTGTCCATGTACATACTGTGACAAGTAGAAGCCACAAACAATGACATGTCGCAAGGGCATATACAATAAGGCGGTCGAGGCTGGCGGGTAGCGCATGCTCTCTCAATCTTCAAGAGAAGAAAAAAAACAGAAAAAAAACATACAACAGAAGGGATTCGCTGGTGGTCACCCACCCAACTACTAACCTCCCGGCGTGCGGCTTAAGTACGGCTGAGCGGACGGGAAGCCCTGTTTTCCACACCCTGTGGTCGTATGTAACGGTTTTCCCGGTAGAACAAGCCATATGTCTAACGAGACTCCTATCCCGCTGAATCAGTGCATGGTTCTCAGCTCAGCGGTATAGACAATATACCTCCAAGGCAGATACTCATAATCTCACATTCCCAAAGACGTGCATACGGCTAGCAGATCATGGATGCAGTGTACCATGCAAGACTCCCTTATCCACATCCTCCACCATCCGCTCATACCTGACTCCAAATAAGCAGGTCCACCCCCGTCGCCGGCGACCGCCAGGCCGCCCGGGTGGTCGCTGACCCGGAGATCCCGGCGGTCGGCGTGGGACTCGCCCGTCACGGTGTTTTGTTTGGAGAGAGTGAGGGGGTGATCTGGATGATCTCGGAGACTGGCCTTGTTGAGTACACTGCACGGTTGGTAGGGGTGTACTTGGGCTTATATTATCCCTACTGATGCACATAGCACACGGAATGGGGGGTTGGCCGTGACAGTTACAGGTACAGTGCTTACAACCTTGGAAGCGGAGAAGTCATTAACCATGCTCGAGTTCGTTTGAACTATATAATTAGTAGCCGAGGAAGTTCTTCACACTACCCGCCGGAGACCCTGCCGAGGGCTAGGGCAAGCGCCATGTTCCTTAATTCCTATCTTCAAGGACCCTGACCGACTTGCAGTCAGCCTCCTGCAGCAGACGGCATGGGCCGTATAGCTGATATCTTCCAATCACTCATGCTTCCAACAAGGGTCAGTCGGTTCCTCGCCGAACCATTTGGCCTGTTCACTTATGCCATTGGTGAGTAAGCCCACCAGAATACGAGTAACAAAAAGGGCCGGGTGCACGCCACGGAGAGCGTCCTTCTTAGGTGGGGCTGTCAACGCTGGCTGAAGCTCGTATCCAAAATTGGCCCCGCTCAGGTTGTGACCGTAGCGATGAGTCAAGAGACCATGGGCGCCGTCCGCATAGTCCCTGGCCTCCGTGACCTTTTGGGCGATAAAGTCGCTGACTGGCTGCCACCGCGCGAGATACTCATCCTGAAGCGCCTTATGCTCTCCCTCCTGGGCCTGAACTTGTTCAGCCCACCGGCGGCGGTATTTCGAGAGTCTCACGCCGTCCGAATCATGGTTTCCGATCCAACCACAGCCGATGCCGTATGTGACGAGGTCGATGGTCGCCCGAGGGATCAGCTTGCGGTCGATCATCATGTCGATCAACTTGGCGGTCGTCGCGTCGGAGAGGACTTTCAGGTGTTCCGCCAGCCATCTCGGGCCCATCATCGTCGGCTCACGCCCCGCCAAGACGCGGAAGGCGGTTTCTATGCACCCGAACTCCTCTGCCTTGGAGAAAGCCTGCTCGATGGCCGGCCAGGCTTCCCTTTGCCGGCGCGGGAGATAGTCGTGGGCTTGGGCGAACTCAATGGACTTGGCCTGAACCTCTTACATCACGGATTTGACGTTGGTCACATCAAAACGGTCGCACCAGCCACAAATGAACATGGAGTGGTATGCAATGGACCGCCACGCCACTTTGTGTCTATGTCAAATCATAAAAAGGTCATGAGCGGGATATTATTCGCACAAGCCGGGGCATGACACACACACAGAGGGGAAAAGGAAGGGGGGGGGGGGGAGGAAAAGGGAAAGAAAAAAGCCAATATACCTCAACACCTCTATTCCCATAAGATATCGCCTCATCAAAACAAACGTTTCATTCATATATTTGTCTATTTCATCTGTTTGAGGATGATAATGGCTAAGTGTTTCCTGCCAAACAGCTTCGGTCAGAGCCATCATCTTGGGGTCAAGTGGAATTGAACTCAGAGAGCAGCTTACCTTCAAAGAGGTCATTTCTTTAAATACCAAGCTTTCTTGGGACGACATTTTCGAGAAATTCGCTTGCTAAATGGAGAGAAAATACGGCCGTAGATGGACAGATGGATGCGCTAGTAAAACAACTTGGAGGGGGCAGAGCACCTGTTTATAAGTGCCTCCGGGGCAGGGGGTTTTCCCAGCGGTGTAAAACAGTGGAGCATATACTCAGGTGGAGCCCCACCACCGCATGTGGTACTGGCAGTGTCCGATCATAACCCATCTTGTCACACGCCCCACTCTGTCCCAAGCTCCTTTCTCGATATTGTGGATACCTGCGGCTGAGACCTTCAGCTGAGACCTTCAGCTGAATCTCCTCGGTACCGTACCGCCGGGGTCAAAGCACGGCCCCTGGTGGACAAATCGCCAGGTAGATAGCGAATAGATTCCTCCCGTGTTGGAATGGTCGATTCGCGCAGACCCATACTAATTTCCCGATGTCTGTTGAGATACCTCGGTTGGTGTGAGAACACAGAGGAACATGGTGCTTAAGCTGTTTGGAAGATCTTGGGGATTTCCCCAGGCTAATCAATTCTGACAGGTGAACATAGACGATCTCTTCCCTTGATCTACTAGCCCGGATGTGGCTATGACGTGGCACTCTGCAAGCCACTGGAGTGACCGTAGAGGAGGGTGGATATCAATTCCGCTGGTGCAATCTTCAGCTGACCCACGATTCAGAGTTCAACTACTATGTAAGATACCAGAAAGCTAGTCACGTACTCAGTATGGTCATTCCTTCACGATCCTCAATCTGCCGGTACCTATCCTGTCCTGTAAGTCTCATTTGCGGAGGAGGCTCACATCATACCCGAATACGAAGCGATATGATATATCTTATCCTTCCTTGCCAGTATGAGAACCAGACCACGTCATCATGCTACTGAGTAGCTATAAGCAGGGTAATATGCATAGCTAACTCCCCTTTCAGGCATCAACCTCGGCTGAGCTACGCAGTTTGTCACGGGAAGATAGATCAGACAGACCATGGTTCTGGAATCTGGATGGTTTTGGATCAGTGCGGGAGTGGGGAAGCGATCGTCGGTACCACAGCCCCGGGTCCATCTGGCTCACTGATCCAGCCCTATCCCAATGGGGACAGGGGATCCGTCGGGCCTCCGTGACTTCAGCATTGATCTCCTCACGCCGGTCACGAACCGGTCACTTAGCTTGCAGTGCAGATATGTTCACTAAGTGTTCAATAACGGGCGCATCAGATGCATGAACGTTCGTCTGGTCGAGCACTCCGTAGACACACTTATTACCCAAGTGGGAGTAGCATCCCCACCAGATGGGATCGAGGCTTGCGATCTCAACGTATCTTCCGTTGAAGCTAACAACCAATGCCTTCTCCACTAGCTGTTTAGACATAACGCACTCGACGACAAGCATTTCTCAGTGGGCTCACATCATTGGAGTCCCGCGGGACAATGTTCTACCAGGTTAGGCTATCTAGGCTGGATGCTGAAGCTGTCAAGGACGTGAATGATGGGTATATTTAGGCTACGTAGGCTACCCAGGAACTAGCTAAGACTATCGGGTGGACAGTGAGTGGCAGGCTGGATACAGGCATGCTATCATTAACAGACAAGTGACCCACCTAGTTACCTTGATAGGTTGAAGGGTCCCTTTTCGCTCAATGGCCTTTCTCTTGGCTTTGATGATCATGGTTTGGGTTACAGATTTATGCTTTTCTTCGAGCATGAGAGATAACTGGAATGTGGCGTGATCTTTGTGTCTCTCTGGGAGAAAACATCTTGGAGTGGTTCCTTCCTCAATCTCAAGGTGTAGGTTCCGCCGAGCTCAATGAAGAAGTGACCTTGTAGAAGTCCCGAGTCTCGCAGTTTCCCCGAACTTAGTGAATGTTTATCTGTTGTCCAGGACCCAAGGAAAGAGCAATGTAGGTTTAAGGTGAATTCACAGGTATAACATGACCATTCACCTACCACTGCCCGAGATATCTTCTACCAGCGCTCATCATTCCAGAACTAATGGCCTTTGGTGAATGACTCCATACCTTACATAAAAGCCTTTTTATTCAAGTTTTCGCCCTTTCGCAGCACCTTCACTCTCACGCAGTCCGGGACGCCTTCGACCAACCTCGAGCAAGTCCGAGCTCTCTCCTCTCGTTCCGATGACCAAACTACCGAATCCTCCCTCCTTCGTCGAAGAACAAGGGTTTCAACCCGCGGAAGACGTCCCGCCAGCCAATACGAGTTTCAATGGTTGATTGGGAAGAGCTTAGTGAGACTGCAAGGCAATATACCCGGCTGGCTGAGGACAAGCATATCGACATTTCATCCAGTCCAGTCAGAAGGGCGATGTTCTCTATTCTTGGAGCTCACGAGCGTGGCTGATAAGACCCTTCTCGGCTCTTGTCCGCGACATCGAACTAAGTGCTTGTCCGGGAATGAATATAAAGGCCCTAGGCAATGAGACTCGGCTCACAATCTTGATTCCAAATCATCGCATTGCCGTAACGGGAAACTCGGAGTAATCCTTATGGTATCAGGACCGAACGCGTCCCTACCATCAGCTCGTCGTGGTGGAGGCCACACGGCGGGATAACCTCTCTGGTGCTCTTGCTCCGATTCTGGGCTATATGGGGATGAAGTTCCTAGGATTTAGGAAGATTATCTAATTAGATTTAAGGTTCCGTTCAGATGTCAAGGAAGTTTCAGGGAAAGGAAAGCTTGGTTGTTATGGAGTTCTGACGTACTGAGGACAATTTCACTTTATTCTCCTCGACGAAAACTCTCAAGTAGGAACTCCTCTATTCCTATATTGACAAACCAAGTGTTCAAACTAAGAGACTATAGTACTCAATTATAACTTATAGGTGGAATGCGGGTCAGAGAGACCTAATCTGGGATTTTTTGTTGTGGATGGCGGAGACAGCCAGCTTTCAATCTCGGGAGACATCGGAAGTGAGTGGCTGATACTGGCCAACGACTCTCCAAAGGTTGGGCGTAGCCCCAGGGTGCATTGCACAGTGCACCCTGGTTGGCCAGTATCAGCCCTCACAGTAATGTCGGTGGTCAGCGTTTCTGGGCTGTTGATTATCGTTAGTCTTTGTATAGTTATTAGTGAGCTGTGCTACTGCTGTGGTTTGTTCTCTTCATTATGCTGCATTGTCAATACAAAACTCGGCAAATAAAATGTATAATATCAATCCGTGCTTCTCTTCGCAGCCCTGCGGGGCTCAGTTCTTCTGGATGCCCTCCGCCAGGTATGACTCCTTGATGTTACGCCCATATATGATGCTACTGCTTGCTAACTTATCATATGGTGATGAACAGTGACCGATCGCTGACAGTCCAGGCAAAAGGAAATTGTTTGTGACGTTTTGGGTTGAATGAGGACCAAGGCGATGGAGCAGTTCCGGCAGGGCTCGGATACAAGTGGCTGAGGGTACCGACCAACGACCTCTCAAAAGGTTCGGGCATAGCCCCGAAGTGCATCGCTGCCCGGCTGAGGCCTGGCACCAGACTTATGCATCGTCCTAGCGATTCCTTGAGATCTGGTTTGTCGGCCAGTCCTCTGACTTCGCACCTTTTCCAGCCACACAGTCTTGTATCGCGGCTTAGCTCTAGCATCTCGGGGACGAGATTTATTCTGGACGTGTTCAATGAGCGGTGGGCCTCAGTCTCTGTGACTTGTGGCATGTACAGTATCATTCTTGGTTGATGGCAACAACGGTATTTTAGGTATTTTAAATTATGCTACGAAATCTCTGCATGCATGACAATCGTCGAGTGGAATGAGTGGCAGCGGAAGTAGCCGTGGCGGACCCGTCCCGAGGGTCGGAGTATATAAGATTTGCGGGCCGACCCGATCTGTCTAACCCTTCTGCAATCGGTAATGCGGAAAATACGCTAGAACCGGCCAAGAAACCGAGGGTGTAACACGGCGAGTCACCCAACAATCTTAAAGTAACATCAAACCCCGCACAGCGCTGACGTGCGTCTGTGGCTCAGCTCTTGGAGCTGCTCTGACGTCCGTCATCTGTGCCTAAAAAAAGAAAAAGAAAAAGAAAAAGAAAAAGAAAAAGAAAAAGAAAAAGAAAAGCCACAGGACTGAACGGTAGATCACATGCATAGACCAATGAGGCAAAGGGATTTGCCGCTGTGCTCAAGGCTAGCTAGTTAGTGTGTATGCATGCCAGGTGTTCACAGCCCACCCCGGAAAAACAGATAGACCGTGGTGTTGGTGGTCATGTTGGTAGGCTGACAGCCAGGATGTTCTTCATCGACCAATTCAACCCTGGACGAGGAACAGTCACTTCAAAGGGGAATCCGCGATGCTCCAGAAACTACGTGCTAGATTCAAATCCACCAAGACAAATGGACATGCCCGTAAAAGGCGTGACGACCGGCCCCGGCTCCCGCCCCCGAGCACGAACGACGACGACCGCGTCGCCACGGAGACCGATACTCGCGTCTCTTGCCCGGGCAAGGCAAGGCCTGATGAATCCCCAAGAAGGAATCTCTGGGAGGTTGCCGGAGAACGACTAGATGGGAGGCATCGAGAAGCTTTGGAGTTGGAAAGCGCTTCCTCTGTCACGAAGGCCACCGAAGGCGTGATTACAACAACGGAACAGAAATACCGCGAGTACAAGGCAGGTGGGCTCAAGATCCGCAAGCGCGACGGGGGGGAGATCAACGTCCGTGACTCCGCCAAGAACATCATTCTCTATGCATTGCAGGCGCAGGAGCTTGTCAAGACATTGGCGTCGTTCGATCCGACGGGCCATGGTGAGTACTGCACCTCTTTTGCCTCCCAACCTCTGCAGCCTGAATAAATGCTGATTTCGGGCGCAGTATCAAGTGCATGGTCGATTGTTTCATTCGGGCTGACGCTGCTCCAAAATAACTTCCAACGTCGGGACGACATATTCGAGGCAGCCGAGTATCTCGCCCGCAACCTTGCCTACTATGCGATCGTGGACAGTCATTATCGGGAAAGACAGGTGGGGAGCGATCGTGGTCTGGAAGATGCTCTGGTTGAGGTCTACATGGCAATTCTTCAGTACGCGGCGGAGGTGAAAGAGGCAGAAAAAGAAAGCAAAGCTAGTATGTTGTCCAAACTGGGGAATTCTTCATATGGTGATAGAAGCTGATAAGCTCAAAGCCCGCTTCATGAGAAGCATCACGGCCCTGATTCAACAGCCGCTCCAGGATCTCAAGAATACCATCGAAAGCAAAGCACAGGCAGTTCAGAAGTGGACAAGACTTACGGAAGATCTAGGTAATGCCGTTCCCTATTTGCCCAAATCCACAAATAAGAGGCAGGATGCTTACTACTACAGACCGCAGGAGAGAAGCCGAAAGCATGCTGGACGGAATTGATGAAGCGGTGGAAAGGCTGAAAAATATCCAATCACACGCCAGAAGTAAGAAATGCAGCCTGCTGGGCATTGGCCTTCGGGTAAGGGCGCACACTAATTCCAGCAGGCGTGCAAGACCTAGAGATCCTGGACTGGTTGTCCACGGCATCTTATTCGGACTCCCAAAACAACGCTCAACACCGCCGGGCATCAAATACGGGGGATTGGTTTCTCAATCTACCCGAGTATAAAGAATGGAAGGCCACGCCTGGGAAGATTTGTTGGCTTTATGGAGCAGGTGCGTTCCTCGGATCGTCACCAAAATCAAGACTAACATTTTGCGCAAGTCGGATGCGGAAAATCGGTTCTTTGTTCCACAATTATCCAAAACATTGCGGACTACTGCGAGCCGGATTCGACAAGGCATTTTGCCTACTGGTACTTCCAGTTCAGTAATGACGAAACACAGAAGGTGTACAATATGATCAGGTCCATACTGCGACAATTCATGCCAAGAACACTTCCTGCGTCTGTAGTCAAGCTGTGGGAAGAGCATCGCCATCGAGGCAGTAAGCCACAACAGCAAAAGCTTGCAGAGATTCTTGACGTTGTGCTGGAGACCTCCCAGGGTCATTTCTTCCTCATCCTTGATGCTCTGGACGAGTGCCCCGCGAAAGCCGGTGAACGGGGGTCGCTATTGCGATTCCTCGAAGGACTGTGGGAAAGGCATCAAGCCAAGCTACATATTATTGCTACGAGCCGACCAGAGCCTGATATACGCTCGAGGCTGAAACAATATCAATGTGTGAATCTGGAGACTGGATTGGCGGAAGATGTGGAAGCTTTTGTCCGGGCTCAAGTTGCCCACGGCAGGTTGTGTGAATGGGACGAGTCAGTCAAGACGCGGACCTTGGAGAAATTGCTTGATATTCCGGAACGGTATGTTACCTTGGTCATCAAGTATTTACAGCATGGTTGACAAGTGTGAGCGAGCAGGCGCTTTCGCTGGGCTGATTTGCAAATAAAGCGTCTTGAAGAGTCCAAGACCAAAGCTGCATTCCTTAGAGCTCTTGATTCCATTCCAGTCACACTAGAGGATACCTATAGAGACACCCTCGAAAGACTCGCACCAGATGATCGAAACGCAGCTCGCACAATTTTGATCTGGCTCTGCTTTTCTGCCGATCCGCTGGACTTGAAGACCGTCGCGGATGTTGTGTCTTTCCGGTTTCCGGAGGATGTTGTGACAACCTGCACTACTTCCTTGGTCACTCTGAGCATTTCTGATAATACTGTCAGATTGGCTCACTTCTCCGTGAAAGAGTTTCTGGTTTGCAATGAGACTGAGTGTCGATGGTATCAGTTCTCAACTCTATCTGGTCACGATGCCATAGCAAATCAAACTATCGACAGCCTGCTGGAAACCACCAAGCCCATAACAAAAGTCTCTGCCATGCAACAGCCACTACTTTTATACGCTGCCAAGTATTGGGATCGTCATCTGGCAGAACTCGGAGATCTGCACGCTGATTCTACCGGTCTCCAGGTGAAGGTTGACCGCTTGTTCACAGAGCGGGATACTTACGCTAACTGGCAGCGCTTGAAAAGTGCTGAGTGGGATTACATATGGCATTATTCATTCGAAAACCTCGCTCCGCCTCTGTCATGTGCGTCAAAAAAAGGATTGAAATCAACAGTCCAGATGTTACTTGCGAAAGGCGCGAATCCGCTGGAGTCACATCCTAGGTTGCTTGGGTATGACGCATTGTATGAAGCCGCAAGTAGAGGCCACTTGGATGTTTTAAGATTGTTGATATGTAGCATGGATGAGATACCTCACCAAGGACCGACTAGACGCCTGCTGCAGTTTATTGAGGCTACTGAAGCTGACAGAGACAATTTAGCGGCCATCTTAGACCTGCTCTGGAACAAGGGTGCTTTACATGATCGATCAAGAGCGTTGCGCAAGGTTATTGATGAGAAAGTAGCGGAATATGCAGCGTCCAATTGGAATGGGTCAAGCCAGGTGTTAATAGACCTACTCCTGGATCGACAAGAGAAATGGGGTGTCAAGATAACTGAAAGAGTGGTGGAAGCTGCTTTGTGCGATACATGCTGTGGCGAAGGGATCGTGCACTCGCTGTTGAACAGGTGTGACACAGTCATACAGCGTACGCCAAGATGGATGCAGAAGCTTATTTCGGCATCTAGTAATGATGCTACAATGGCCACTCTGAGAAAGCGGGTGAATGATATCATTTTGGATGAAGAATGTGTTGAAGGTTTTGCAACGGGAAGGAAAGACGCAATGGAGCTGCTTTTGCATGAGCGTGGAAAGGAAATTCAAATCACCCAGAAAGTGCTGATCACAGCCGCCAGGTTCGCACGTGATCCACAGACAGTAAGCTTACTTCTTAACAGTCGGGAGCCTGGAACAGATATCAGCAAAGAGGTCTTATTGGCCGCTGCAGGGAACACGTTATCAGGCAATGAAATCATGAATATATTGCTTGATAAGAACGACGAAGGCACTGTTATTGACGATGAGATCATCCAGATCATTACAGGAAATGAGAGCGAAGGCTTGGAAATGATAAAGACACTTCTTCGAAGACAGCAGGCGGGCTTTGTGGTTACCGAGCAGGCATTTTGCAACGCTGCTGAACGTCACAATCGGGAAATGCTTGAGCTTCTGGTGCATAATATCAGTGGCTCCAAGCTTGATCTTCCCATCACAGGGAGGACTTTACGCTGCGTCGCTGAGAATTATTTTCATGGAAAGGACTTGATGGTATATCTATTTGATCTCCAAGGTCACAGTCTTCCCGTCTCAGAGGATACATTGGTATCGATTGCAGACGTGGATTCCTTCACCGCAGACTATGTGCTCACGTTCATCTTGGAGAGATGGTCCAAAACTCCTGTAACTGACCGACTCTTGGAAGCGGCATGTTGTCTGCCTAACACCATTGGGCTGCTATTGGATCGCCGGTCTGACCGACTTCCAGTCGAAAGAATGGTCCACAAAATAGCAAAGGACCGGAAGCACGATGGAAGGGGACTGAAGGTGCTTCTCGATCGGCATCTTGTGGAAGTGAACGAGTGGCTGGTAGAAATGACTGCCGGCAACTTCTATACTCTAGAGGTCATTCGCAACAGGAATCCCGAATTTCCAGTGACATCAAGGATAGTCGTCACCGCCGCAAGAAACTTCGATGCAATGAGAATTGTACTCTACAGACAGAAGAACCAAGTCGTGATCACGGAAGAAGTGATCAAAGCTTCATTGGTGGGATTACACTCGGATAAAGTCATCAGCTTATGCCTGACTCGCCTGGGCCCTAAGGCTGTGTCGTTCACGGAGGATGCTTTGATCTGTGCTATTCAGAATAACAAAATTCAGGCTCTAGAGCTGTTATTGGAACAACGTCGCCATCTCAATCTCAGCGCAGTCTGGGAAGCAATATGGCAAGATCCTGGGATTGACCCATCTTTTGTGGCTGAGGCAGCAGATGCTCTTTTCCAATATGCCAAGTTTGATGTCTCGGATAGGATGCTGGAAAGATTACCATCTGAGTGTTTTGACAATTTTATCCGCTCGTGTATGCAGTACCGGGTACCGTTGCCGACCACGGAGGCAGCATTCGAGTTGATTGTGGAAAGATCGGATTTTAATACCGTCGATATATTCCTAGAGGATCATCCTGACTTCCCTATCACCGAGAGACACTTTGAAGCTGCTGAGAGGAACTCACGAAGATACATAGACAAAGATGGTTTGCTGTTGCTCCTCTCGACCAAGTCAAGTTTATTTTGAGGCAAAGAGGTTGTCACAATTTGGATTTATCTCAAGGAAATGGCTTTATGCAGACTTTTTGTGCGTGTCACCTGGATAGATTGCTACGTGACCCTATTCTATCTTGTATCTTAGTTTTAGTTCATTATACAAGTTTACATATACTACTTCTTTGTTCTGTATCCCTAATATGCCTAGCTATGATTGGCAACGATACATTCTTTGATTATCAAAAGAAGAAATCAATTGGAAAGAAGAGACAAAGGTGATCAAACACATTAAACAAGTCGGATTTGTCTGTGATCAATGCGAGCCTCACGATATCACTACCCACCATCCAACCTAGGCTTTCCCGGACTACCGGGAACAAGAGATCCGGTAGTGCAGAAAGACAACAGCAATGCATTCTTCATTGTCTCATGTGATAATTCCACACTAAAAGCAACAAACCGGTCTTTAATCTCATTAGCCATTGGTCAAATATTGCATCAAATTCCTGCTCATTCACCGAATATCCTCAGTTATATTCCAACGCAAGCATATTCTGGAGACTAGATGCCTCAATATACGCCCCTTCCGAACCACCCAATTTAATTTCTGTTGAGGAACTTCAATCCGCATGCAATATTGATACCCTTGCTTTCAGAGCAATTCAAATCACGGACTAAGCGATTGTGAGTACCCTGCTTCACCATTGCCCCGAGCCCGCAGCCTTCGATCGCATTGCGGCGCTGAACAACCGACCCATACGTCCCCAGGCGTTGCAGTGGCTGTCTTCGCCCAAGCTGCAACACGTCAGAGGTTGAACTTGCGCCAAGGGACGCGGCAAGAGCTGAACGCCCGAGTTAGGGCCAGTTTGTCTGACGTGGAGTCCATCACGACCGTCTTCCTCTGCGCGTACCTCAAAGAACCAGATCTCGAGGCCAGAACCACGACCAACACGGAACTGCTCAAGAGGTCAATCTCAGCCGTTGAGACTCCGAACTGATGATGACCCTGGGTTTCAAGGTATGTCGTATGCAAGAGCGTACACCATCTTCCAACACAAAGGCTGTGTATCCGTCTCACTAACCACGCGCTCGTCCCCCCCTTCACTTTAGATATACGGCCTGCAACGCGTCGGCAGTTTTGCTCAGGAAAACCAGCTCCCTCTGCGGGAAACATGAGTGACGGCGGCGGCCTGCGGCCTTGCCTAAGGCTGCCAGCTTACCGCCCACCTCGGTGGCCTTAGCTAGTTCTCACAGTTTGCCTGACGTAGTCAGAATCCAAGCATTTTCCACCTCTCTGGCGTCATCAATAAGTCTTCTTTCCGGTGCCCTTCGAACGACCGTTTCCTCTGTTTCCACCAACTGGATCTATTAAGGCGCCTTTCCGCCCAGTGCCACCGAGCGGACAAATATCAGGATCTCCTGGTATATGGCGTTTGATCGTATGTGAATGGCGAAGATTATTTCTTGATGCGGTATGTTTCCGGGTATAGTTCAAAAGTACTTGTCTAGTATTAGGCGGCGGGTGTCATGTTTTGTGCCCGACACTCTCCTATCCCAACAATATTCATGTTGAAGTCTACTGATTAGCTTGATTGGTGAGATATAAGCTCGGTATTCTATGGTTATTTAATCTAAGTCTGGTTTTTTTGAGCCTAGATGACTTAATCGAGTCCCACAATATCGGCACTGATGACGTTGCTGAACCGCATCCATAGAGTCATAGAGTACTGCACCGTCTCAGATATAGCCTTATAAGAGAGTTGCCCTGCCTCGAATCCATGGCGCATGATACCTGTCGCTCAAACAATGAGCGCAGCTGGACTCCCGGGAGCAAATATCGGTTTTTATTTCTCTTCGTTGTTCTTTTTCTCTTGGCATTTCTTCCTTCGGGTACAATAGCATCTGAGCCGGTCCCTGCCCCGGATGTCGAATCTCTACTCGAATCTTGGCCCGGGCTCCGTACTGTTGCCTTGCAGCAAACTCTTTACATATCGCACAGTATGTTGTTAGGCCTCGGTGGGGTTCAGTACAAGCACCGATTACGAGACTCTGCACCGAATTCCCTCACATCAATTGCTATTGTGCCTCTGCAAGATGTCGCCACCACTTTCGACGCAGGCATTGGTCGTGCGACCAGAACAACAGTCGTTGAGTCTGGAAGAGGTCGTTATCGTGGATCTTAAGCCTGACGAAATCCTGGTGGAGATTGTTACATCCGGTATCTGTCAAACCGACCTACTCGCGATGGATGGGATTCTGCCAATGCCCAGTCCAGGCGTTTTAGGGCATGAAGGTAACGTGACTTATCCAGTCATCGCGAAGCTCCCTGTCGCTGCTAACCACCACCACCATAATCTTTCCAGGCACCGGAAGAATCAGCAAAGTCGGCGAGGGAGTCCACCATCTCAGTCCGGGCGATCAGGTCATGCTCTCATACAGCTCCTGTGGCTCGTGTGACCACTGCCGATCCCAGCACACTTCCTACTGCGAGGGTCTGCAGGCTCGGAACTCCTCCGGGGCCCGTCCCGACGGTTCGTCTGCCTTGATAAGCACATCCGGTGACAGGCGGTTTGGCCACTGGTTCGGGCAGTCATTCTTCAGCAAGTATGCGGTCGTCAACGCCTCGTGTGCGGTTCGCCTGGCGCCTGAGATCGACCTCGCGACGCTGCCCAGGCGCGCCCCGGTGCTTGGCGGCCATGATCGCCGACAGGCCGACGGCGCCGACCCCGAAGACAGCAAGGCTTGTGCCGGGCTGCACATCGAGCGTGTTGAACACGGCTCCCGCGCCGGTCACGAGGCAACTTGCGGGGCATGCATAAACTTCTGTTGGAGTGCGGCAACTATCTGGAGAATTTACGATATTTCTAAAGTATTTGAAAGTTGCTGGAATCCACTATCCGCACCGACAGGCCGGGGGCAGAAGCGCCGGCTGTCCGGTTCCGCTGCGGGCGCAACAGTGGTCGTGAGTCCTCGCAGGCGCCGATAGACGGCGAGGTATAGCTTTCTCCGTGACTCTGAATTGGCTCGCGGGGTTCTAGACACGTCGCTGGGCGAGTACGCTCATTTTTTCTTCCTCCCTTCCCGACCTCGGACCTGGAGGGCAATATCTCGTTGTAGCGCAACGCTGCAGGCGGTCAACAGTCTCTGTGTTGATGTGAATTGTACACTCGGTTCCTAGGGCTAATCGCTGCGAAGTAGTGGCGGAAACGCATGGCCTTCACCTCAGATTGCCGGACGAGGGTGTTGGAGTTTGCTTGGGCTGGAATCCGCGTAGCGAGGCATGTATCTGTATCGGACTATCTGCACATAAATTGTAAATTGATTAACAACTATGAATTGACTGCGATTGACCTCTCGCTACCCAAGAACATCATCCTTTGAGCCCAACTCTTCAGGTCGGCGGTGCTAGATATTCTTCTTCTTGAGCTGTGAACTATCGCAGATCAACTCATACGCAGTACATAGTTTACAAACTCACACCGTGACATGGGATTCCCTAACTCTGCCTTCTATACATCTCAGCTCGCAGGGAAGGCTGATCTACTATAATGCGCCCTACCTAGCGCAGCCGGCATAAACCTTGAACCACAAAAGCAAAGAAGAAAACGATAGCGGAAAGCCATGCCCCACCGCCGGGAAAATATTCTCAAAACCGATGGATCGTACAACCACCCTCGAGATCCCGAATTGCATCCGCGCAAACCGCCTCCCACCAGGCATCCAAAAACTTCCCGCAGTTCAGCCGGAACCACGGGCGTGAAAGTGAACCGCTGGTCCCCTAAGCATGCGCTGCATCTCCGACCGCGTGACATATCGATAGTCCCGGATCTTCTCGATTTTGACCTTGACGTTGAAGTCTGCCTTGCTGAGGATGACGGAGGCACCTCGACCAAAACCACGCAGTCAGCACTGGTGTCCAAGCCTATCTTCACAGAGGCAGAGAACCCAAAAAGAGACGCAAGGCTTACTCTCATGCTCCCCCAACTGCGCATCCCCGGGGCACCGGTAGTGTATCCGCGTGACGAAGTGCAACGACTCCAGCGGGACAGCGTCCGGGGTGCTCCCCAGCTCGTGCTGGAGCTTGCGCTACGCCCGGGCGCCGGGATCCCGCGATGCCGCCGGTTCTCCCTCTACCGCGAGCGGGTGCGAGCAGCACGTATTGGTCTATTGGTCGGGGAGGGTGATCTTGCGGCTGGCGCGCTGGTGGATCAGGAGGCGGTTCTGGGTGTCGGACAGAAGGACGGAGGAGGCTCGGTGGAGGAGGTTGCGGTTAATGTTTGCGCGTTGGTGGCCTGGACGTGATGGATGCATATTATCAGCTGATGTTTTGGAGAGGGGGGGGGGGGGGGGGGGGGGGGGGAAGCATCATACCGTCAGACATGTTGGCAGCTAAGGAGATCCCAAGTGTGAGATTTTTCTTCTACGCATAACGTACAAACTCTCTTACTGGCCATGCTGATTTCTTTGTCCCTCTTATTCCCTCTTATCGATGACGATGCACATATCCTCCATCGATGCATTTTGGCTTTGTGAGTGATCTCCGGTGCGCGTGGCGGATGCGAGGGGCGTGTTGGATGAGACGTCCAGCGGTTGGACGTCTGGGAATAGATGGAAGATGTTCTTCGGGGTGATTTGGGGTGATTTGGGGTGCCCACTGTTGGGTTTGGGCACCGGAGCGGACATTGCGAGTACTTGGTTTTGTTGAATGTGAGAGAGAGTAGAAGATGTGTGGGGTCTGACGGCGGAGCATTGTTTATGCTGAGCTCTACTGCCGGGGGTGGTTGTGACCGGCTGTGCTCCCATGCTTGTCGCCACCGGCTGTCGTGTCCAGCATGATATTAAGTACAGGAGACTAGAATGTGTCTCGTTCGTTTTACCACGCGCCATTGCACTTGCACTTGGATCACTCTCAATCAACCTGCGCAGCAACCCACTCCACATTCAGCAGTGATGGTGACACCAAAGCAACGCTCTTCTCTGTCAAGCAACCAGAAGGAACAGACCTGATGGCAGGAATATCTCTCAGCTCAGTGGCCGCGTACGTCTTTATTGGAAAGACGGCGACCGTGGCCGGTGTTCTTGCCCCCGATATGCAAAAGGCCGGCGCATGCACGTTCATCTTTGTCAGTGAGATCACAAGCCCAAACGCAGCTCTGAAGGACACAATCCAGGATCCCCAAATAAGTGGAGCCACAGTGCTTCTCTACACAGACTGTCTGTCACAGATTGATCGTCTGAAGACGGTGCTCAGGCTCTGGACCACAGACGGCCGTCGCATCGCAGGAGTGATCTACGACCAGACTGACGCGGCGGTAAGTGCGTTGCATGAAGGTCCAGAACGTCGTGAGTAATTGTGTCGTCCAAGTACGATGATCTCGATGATGTATTATACCATGCAGCGGGGATGCAGAATCTACACGAGAGCACCGCCGCGCTGCAGTTGGACTTTTCCCTCGTCTACTGCGAGAAGGACACTCCTGCTGCTGCGATGGCTAGGCGGTTGGGTTGCCATCGGTCTTGTTTTCGGCTCCCATTCAAGCCGCTGCAGCTCGAGAGTAGATCTTGGGTCGCGGACGCAGTTGAGGCCCAGATCCTAACAGGCTGTCGATCGGTCTTCCCAGACCCGGTTAAGGCAGAGGGGCTGGATCTGCATCCAAGTCCCGCGACGGAGAGACTCTACTCTTCGTCCTCGGGTGGCACCACTGCCCAGACTAACCCTCTTACCGCTGGTTGCTCCAGTGCAGACAGGAGCGGTTCTCCCACCGCAAGTTCCACGATGAAAGAGTGCGATCAGACATTTGGGCAAAGTTTTGCTGCCAGAACTGATCATTCTCAGAGCAAAGCAGACGCTGGATCTTGGTCGCTGTTCAATCGCGCCACTAAGCAGATCGCCACTCTCCTCACCGTGGAAGCTGAAGAAATTGACCTCGATGCCCCGGTCGCAGTCCTGTGAGTTGACTCCCTGATCGCCACGGCCTCTGCAATTGACTTAAGACAGAGGCCCAGGGTGTGGGTCCCATTCAAGTCTCTGGAGGCGGAGTCCCTGTGGTAGTTTATCCAGCATGTCATGCATTCTCGGGGAGGCTCGTAGCATAGCAGATATGCATACCAGTCAATCGAGACCTGTATTGGTTTTGGAGGATACCAATTCAGGAGCTTGGTCTCGGCGATCAGGCTGATGAGGCACCCGAACAGACTTGCAGTGGACGCTCCTCCTTAGCAAATATCGAAATCAGACTCGCTCAGTGTTGGGGAGGATCAGATTGAGGTCGCCGTGGGCGAGGGAGAAGTCGTGCGGGATGACACAGTAGAGGAAGGAGGGGGCAGGGGTGTCCGCGAAATCAATGCTGTAGGGGTCGCGAAAAACGTCGCCACACAAGCAGCGAGGGTATGCCTTTTACACAAGTTGGTAGGCCAGAGCGTGGAAGTAGATGTAGTCGAATGAGCGTTGCTGGAGCTTCGCCTTTGATGGTTGCCGGGAGGCTTTCCGGGTGGTAGGATACTGCTGGTAGGAGGCGGCCAGACCCACGGTATAGCACCGCAGGGAGTACTGCACGACGATGGCGGGATATTCTGTCGTGGGGCTGGGTTGGGACAAGTCATACACCTAGGTGTGTGGAATATGAGGGGCGCAGGCCTGGCTCGTCGACGATGGGGGCATCCGGACATCCGGGCATCCGGGCCGATCAGCATGCCCACGGAGCCGGCTCCACAAGCACCACTACCCTCTCCCAGGGTGATGTCGCTGACACCCCGGTCATCCTCACGCCAATCACGAAGAGGGTGGGTGCGTTCTGGTACGATAGTGAGCCGACCACGTCGATGATTCGGTTGTCTATCAAGAGGGAGGTGTCGGATCTGGCCGTGATTGATCAATGGGCCCGATCGGATGCGCGCGTGGTCGTGGCACCCAAGCGATATGCTATGCTGCGGTCGGGTTCTGTGGGAACGTATTTCTTGGGCGACATCGGGACAGCGCACGAGGGTGAGAACAAAATCAACGTGAGGGAACCACGGGTTTCTCCGTAGACTGGAGTGTTAGCGGTACTTTCTGGACTGGGGTTGTGAGAGTTGGTGGACGGATCACTCACCTCTTCAGAGGAAAGAACATCAACCTTGCTTGAAATAATGGCGTTGAGGGTTGTCTTCTTCTAGTCGAACGAGGTTCAATCCGATTGATGGTAGGTATTCCAAAGAATTTTAGTGCAGTCGTTGCGGCGTGGGGGGGGGTATCAATGCGCTCGAGTACTGTGAATAAGGCAAGGATGAGATGGTCGCCGCAGTCAGAGTCGTGACTCTCGGTCCTAGACTCGCAAGAATCTGCACTGCATTTGATCAATGTTAGCACAGGGTAGTTAGCCCAAGTCAGGGGATCAAAGGAAGAAGGGGGGTTCAGGGTTGACATCAGCACGTCCAGTGTAGCGGAGTGTCGGAAGCGACCCATTTGCCGTCGGGAATGGCTCGATAGCGGCCGACTGAGGTGCATACACAGCACAGAGGAGAAACTTGGCATGTTTATTGCAGAAAGTAAAGGGAGTAGTATGCAAGAAAAAAGAACAAAGACAAAAACATACAACAGAAGGGATTCGCTGGTGGTCACCCACCCAACTACTAACCTCCCGGCGTGTGGCTTGAGTACGGCTGAGCGGACGGGAAGCCCTATTTTCCACACCCTGTGATCGTATGTGTTTGAGGCCTAACTTCAAGAAGTCATTACTGTACACGCCAGTTGTCGAAAGGATGGAAGGCTCGGTAGGTGGAAGACTGCGAGTCGCAAATCCGGAGGAGTAGGGCGGAAACTCGTTCAACGCGTTCATGTGTCGGGTGGGAGTGTTTCGCACGGTTCGTCTATACAGAAAGGGTTCTCGGGGGATGGTCATTTCGATTCAGGTGTGGTAGATCGACGATGATG